AACAAAAGTAGTTTAGACCCATTTCCATTCCTGGATACCAAGAAGCCACTTGTACAAGTGATCGCAGCACTACAACTGTGATGTATATGTTATGAACTTACAACAGAATGTGTTGTGAGATCACTTTGTGCAAGTCGGCAAAACGTCCATCTCGTGGATGTTATGGTCTACAAAAACAAAACACTTCCCCAAAAACACCTGTTTCTACATGCTTCAAAACATTCTGGGCACCTGTGTTAATTACAAATAAAATTACCACAAACATTTGAATGAATCAAAGTACCTTTTCAAAACATTGGACCCTAACTTTGCTACAAATCGCTCGTGTAAAGTGTCAAAGCAGCTTGTAAAACACTGTTCAGACACAGCCTGTACAACACCATTAAGTTTCACAAATATAATTCAGTTGGGACCTTTTCTCTTCTGTTTACAATCAAGTCCACTAACCATTCTGCAAAAATACATAATTATTGAGATAAAATGGCTAGTTTAATAAGTCAAAATCCCGTCCAGTTACCATCTGTATATAGACAAGCAGCACGCAGACAGGTTACAATGTATCTTGTCCAGTTTAGTCTCCTGTGTCATGAGATAAGTAAGAAACCCTCTGAGATCTCTCAAACTATATCATGTCCTGTGTCATATGATTAGCAACAGTTAGAAATGGGGGAGATCTCACTGACAACATGTCCTGTTACTAAACTACAATAGTTAGAAATGGGCAAGGGTAGAGGTGGGAGGAGGAGATCTCACAGAACGTGTCCTGTCTCTAAACTAGCATCAGTGCAAATCACAGGAGATCTCAGACTGCAACATGGACTATATTGTTCACATACTACTTCCCACACAACTGACAAGACAATATTAACTCGACGTCTAAACCTAAACTAATGTCAGAAGTCCAAGGTTGATACTATTCCTGTATATCTCTGACTGAAAGAAAATGTTAGAAGACATCAACACAATATCTGAGAATAATCTGTTTTCAGAGTGATCCAGAAAAACATTTTGAATTATTGATGTACTGACAAAGACTAATGAAAGCAGCCCCAATTTTTCAATGGAGCTCATGAATTACATAACTGCACAACAATAGATTGGAAAGAAGATACTGAGAAAAACTGACAAAATAACTTTTATTTGTTGGAGTGCGAGTATGATTTTTACGCCCTTTTAGCAATATTCCAGCAATATCACGACAGGTGACACCAGAAATGGGCTTCACATATTGTACCCACATGGGGAATCAAACTTCGACATGACGAGCGAACACTTTAACCACTAGGCTACCCCACTGCCACTTAATGTGTCAGATTGTCATGGTCAGTAAGCTAGGAAGTAAGAGGAAAACATGAACGTTTTTAGGACTGATATGATGATAAGTTCTTTAAATATAACCAAAATTACCGTTATCAACAGAAACATGTCGAAAATAAATTTAAACTCAAACACAGAATTCTAATCTGAACACTACTGTTTGAAAAATAGATTAGAGTCACATATAAAATGAGAACATATTTAGTCTGGTCATATTTTGAGATTATCCGTCCATTGAATGATTTGTCGAAAACCTTTCAAATGTTGAACTTTTGTAATACAATTCAGTTTTAATATGCAAACAATGCATGAGATATATATATTCCCAATTTTCACAATAAAACAATGAAATCTTATCATTTCATAAAAAATATCAGTTGAACAATAGCAGCCAATATTGTTTTTTACAAGTGCTTTGTTTGGAAACATTGAATAGGCACAAAGAGAAGCAGACTGTGAAACAACCTCAACACCATGATTCAAAGAATTGATTTGATATAATCAAGTCTGATAAGCTACAAATTTAGTGTTGAATAGACTGGTATCTGTCACTTCTATCTGAAAAATACAAAAAACACTTTTGTGTGTTTCCCAACAAACTGGAAATAAATATTCTGGTGAGATTCACAAAGCTTTTTGTGCATAAACCATATTTCATATTAATGAAAAATATTAATGAAAAATTTCGTCTCCAATACCTACACCATACACATTTCAGAAATAGACAGTTGTTATACATATAGTATCTAAACAAAATGACGGACATATATTGGATTACTTCACTAGTTCTCAGCCAAAACTAAAAAATTCTGGAGAAACAGCAAGTTGTACAAGCACAATTGTTCTACTTTACTTGAACATTTTGATTTTAGTCTCACAAAATATTGCTAATTATTACACTGACAGCGTTAGTCAAGCGGCAACCAATACCCTTTGTAGCCATCATGTACAGCTTGGATCTGGGCCGTATAAACCCACTGAGGCAGAAAATAACTTTAAAAGTGTATTTGATTCAACCAATTTTGACTAGATCCAAAAACAGTAAGACATTACTACAATATTTAACACACATTAAGCAGCTAGGCACACTTTTTAAATACTACTGCAAGCTCTCACACTATTGCAAGCATGTATAATGTTAAATATATAGTCAGGAACCCTCATTTCATTGCCTAATTTACAACATCACACAATCATATGCATGGAAGACAAAGCATGTCCATTTGGCAGCAGTGTACAAAGCACAGGTAGTAGGCCTGTTATTGCCTCAGACAATAAATTACACACAACCATTGAACAGCATCACATAATAGGTTTTCCTGTACCTGTATCACAACTTAATTGGCTGAGTATAATCTGGGACTTTAGTCAAAACTCAGCAACGATAGGTCGGTAAGAGTCATTTACAACTTCTTGCTGAGTTAATATTTTCAGCATCCTCGATAATCTCCAGGCTATACGTTCCGATAAATCTCCACAATACCCTGGATGCATCTACGACTCGAGCCAATGATTTTATTACCTCCCTTTGCTGGCTTCGCATTCTAGCAGTAGTCAATCAGATAAGCTTGCCAGTGTCAACAAGGATAGCGGTCGCAGCCGCGAAAGTTTGTTCGCAGTGCGACTCAGATTTTGGGGAAAAACATACAGACAGATTGACAGATCTGAAATCTTAAAAAATTCTATGCAAGAACTCTTTCTATCTCTTTCAGAGTACCTCTGCAACAATATATTATTGTGTTGCCAAGTTTAAACGGTTAGATAAGTGAGTTGTGATTTGTACGCTCAACTTCCCAGCGTAGACACCTGACTGGATAAAAAGCCAACCAAGGGAGGTAATAAAATCATCGGCTTGAGCCGTAGATGCATTCAGGGTATAGTGGAGATTTATCGGAACGTATACCCTGGAGATTATCGAGGATGTATTTTCAGTAAAACCACAGTAACTCAGTAATGAAAACAAAATACTGACACATCCAAAGAAGGTTTGTGGCATGAAGAAAATATTACATAATATTGTGGTGGGTTGGTTCTAAAAATGAAAACTGATGGAGTCGGAGACCGATCAATCGTACCCTCAATAAATTAGAGGCAGAGATATGTCTTATTAGGTCACGTGATATTTTAGGTCTTCCAGTCTTTGGGTACTGCTCCATGATGACCTCTAAATGATATGTATCCGGTTCAAGGGGTTCAAACTGATGGGGTTTTACTGTAGATATTATCTATTATGAGAACTGTCACTGCCATGGAGGACACCTTCACTGATTGAGCAGAAAGAGGAATGAATGCAGGTATATGCTGCTGTACAAAGCTATCTTAGCTCTAAGGTGACCGTAACTCCCATACCTTGACACAGACTTAAGGTAGTCCTAGCGCCAAGGTTGTTTTGAACAACAGCACACTGGCATGTAGTACTATGTACATATAATCCGGAATGTGTCATTATACATGATATGTGATGCCAACTTTAGTAAAAAATATATACGAATGAATTAACGGAATGCATACATCAAAAGGCAAAATAAAAGTTCTCAAGTGTCGGTGTACAATGAAAGGCAGCTAATATTCTTGTGACAAATACTTGACGTACCTGTTCTACAACTAAATACCAGACAGACAGGTAATACATAAGGTTACATACTGATACTCATAACAAGGCTAAAACAAGATAATACTTAACTACTGATAAAATAAACAACTAAAACTAAACTTTGCTTACACTGTGAACACATTATAATGGTAATACACGTGAACATCATAGTGTTACAAACCAATTCAAAAGTAGAAGCTCACGGAGCTAAAACACTAGACTGGTTAATCAATAGAGTTTAATTATTCAGCAGTTCATTTTAAACACCTTTATCCAGGGTATAATGTTAAATAAATAATTGCAAGTCTTTCTGAGGCATTTTATTGCGAATGAAGTAAATTTTTTTTCATATCCTTCCATAAACTGAAAGAAAGGCCATGCCCACTTACAAACTAGTGCTTCCTGATAACAGATGAGCTGGCTTGTGGTGCATTATTGTGCTCAACGATGTCACTGATTCTGTATGTTTGTCCATTGTATTTTGAATGTTAAGGACTAAATAGCTGTCCTTAATGTTATGGATGATGTATTTAGTCATAAGAAATGTCTGCAAAATGTCTCTGGGTTTATGGTCTTATGTATGGAAAAATAAACGTGCAGATTTTGTAAAAATAAATCCACATGAAGGATTTAATTTCTTAAGAACCTTGAAGGACAAATCTTATTAATTTGGAGGGAAGACGGCAAATATTTTGGCTAAACAAAATGGTAAACTTATAAACCTGCCAGATGAAAATCTGCCTCCACTGCCACTAAAAACAGTAACGTCATGGTGTACAATATTACAGAATAACATTAATAATATTAAAGTGGCTTGAAACTGAAAAATGACTTTCTTTTATGTAATCAGACTCACTTGATGCCTTTCCAGGTAATTGTGTAACATTTTTTCTGAATTTTAAGTTGTACATCTCAAGCAATAACACAAGTCCATTCCAAAAAGAGTGAGTGAGTGAGTATGGTTTTATGCCGCTTTTAGCAATATTCCAGCAACATCACAGCAGGGGACAGCAGAAATGGGCTTCACACATTGTACCCATGTGGGGACACGGACCCGGGTCTTCGGCGTGACGAGCGAACGCTGTAACCACTAGGCTACCCCAGCGCCCCCATTGCAAAAAGAACCCAAAACTCAACTAAATATGTACAAAATGGGAAAACACCTATACCCTGGATATCTAAGGATGTGTAGTAATGCAAACTGTTTCCTATCAATAGCACTTCACAGAAATATAGCAGTTGAGTCTCAGCAAATAAAATAGATCATAAAATCTTCCAGGAGTAAGAGTTAGGACACATGAAACAAGTTGCAGTTCCATCTACCTGGCCATCTTCATCTTACAGCGATTTAGAACTTGTACACTTTTAGCATATAAAACTTAATGATAAAAATATTCTGAGCATCAAACAATGTTAATTTGGAATGTAGTTTCAGTTGAAATGTAACAGTGAGCTTTGCCAGACCCTAAAAGTCCGACAGAAAAGTAAAATACTCAAGAATACTACAATCTAACATTCAAACACCATCTGACTGTAGTGTACATAAAAGGATTAAAAATATCAACATATGGATTTACATATTTTAAGACAGTGATTGTTTTAAACCCATAGTGAGCTTTGTGATTTTCCGTGTAAAGGGTAAAAACGTATGCTACATAAATTAAATTTTCTTTTTTAAATTTCATGTAGACTGTTTTAGCTCAACATCAGGACCGGAGAAGCAGAGATCCTTCTCGACTTCACAAGGATCTAAACATGTCAAATGCCCTGGTTTTAGATGCACTGGTTCTACATGTGAACTTGGAGACAGATTCCTAGCGCTGAGTAAATCTTCTCAACATGAGAAAGCATGACAAGCCTAAGCCTGGAGTGTGATGAACAACATATTCACAGAGGCTTCATCACAACAGCTAAACACTGCCACTGAACATGATAATATGGACATAACAGAAAGACACATGTTGGTAAACATAGGAGTAGAATGTGCTGAAGTTTCCGATGTAAATATGAGGAATGAACCCATGCATGATAATCTAAGGACAGGAACTGAAATAATTCTCTTGTACTGCATAAACCATGCATTATTTGTAACAATCAGCATTGGGTACCTCACTGAGCCATTTGCAAAGTCAGCGTTTTGTATGTCACTTAATGAACAATTTGTACAATCAGCATTTTGTATCCCACTGAATGAAAAATTTGCATGGTCAGCATTTTGTATCACACTATCGAGTCAGCATTGTGCTACAATGTATGTATTGCCATTTCCACATTGGAGCCAGTAGTCATCTTCAGTCAGCCATCCACAAGCAAGATATTCAGCAGGGGGATAACTCCTTGTTAGACTTCTACAGGGTCTGTAGCATCTCGAGGGTCAAATGGGAAGGGGTCAAGTTCACTTAATTTATCATCATCTTCATTGTCTCTGCTGGAATTGAAAATTTGATATACTGAAAAAGTGAAATGGGTAAAAAGCGTCTTCGAACAGAATTTCAATCATATCACGGTCTGTCAGCTTGATGTGGGAATATAGCAAAGTTGTTCATGTTTTAAATGTTTAACACTTTTAGGAATCAATGAGCACATATAAGGTGCTGAGAAACCAAGACACTAAATCAGGATGAACCACTTTCCATGACCACAACCAAGTTGTCAACACCGGCATAAAATCTCAGTCACGTCTGTGGCTAGTACATTTATCATCATTTAAAAGCTCTGCAATCTGGCAGCTGTCAATTCCGGATCTTATTGTCACAAATTAGAAAATCACTCTCAAATCGTCAATTGAGCATAAACAAACCAAAATGTCTGATTTTTTATCAAATGTGTAGATTTATCATGTTTATGTTATTAAGTGAATAAAAGTGAATATGAGCTCAAATCTTTGGCTATTATTGTCAATGTGTGCAGTAGCTGAGAGAACCACGTGATACAACAATGTACATTGTATATGAGAGTGACAAAACTGTTTCAGTCCTAGTCATAGGTAAACGTGTTAGCTCTACGATCTGGCACACTGTCTAAACCGGCTCCGTGGTGTAGTGGTTAGAGCCTCCGCCCGGAGAGCGGAAGGTCGCGGATTCAATCCCCAACCGCGTCATACCAAAACGACGTTAAAATATGGTACTTGTTGGTCCCTGCCTGGCGCTCGGCATTAATGGGTACAACAAGGACTGGTCGGCTCGGAGTCAGTATAATGTGTCTGAGTGGGGTATTCCATTGCTTCAATGCAGCATGGTATCTCAGTGGGCTAGCACTATAAAACCAGCTTCAGTCTGGGCTAGTACAAGCAGCCGCACACACACATATACACGCATGCACGTCGTCATATGAGCGAAATATTCTCAAGCACGACGTTAAACCCAATTTCACGTCACATCTAAACCGGATTATTCCTTCAGTCCAGACGAGTGCTTGTTTAGACAGCTTCCACTGTACTGATTTCAGACATAAAGGGACACAACTCTGTACAGAAACATGTTGCACCTAGCATCTGGGCCACCTTACAATTACCATCTTTTAAAGTCTTTTGCCAAGACATAGCTGAGATTAAAACCACTGACCTTCAGTTTTCTGGACAGATACTTTATTTTACAGACTACGGAGACCGTCTAGAATGCAAAAAGTACTTACACAGAATTAGAGTTATCACTTCCTGAAAATGATCTTGATCTGTGCAGGTCCCCAGTGAATGTTGAGAGAGGGCCAGCGCTTCTGTCACTATAGGAGCTTGCTGGGGCATAGACAACGGGCTGGGGGCTGGGGTCATAGTATCGACCATTGGCAAAGTACCCAGCATTGGTAACAACACGGGACCGAGATTTCACATTGTTCACTTTCTGCACAGATCCAGGCTTGGAAAGAACATTCTTATTTGAGCTATATAAGGTAGGATTGGTGGGTGTTCGGTTGATGGTGGCGTATCCCATATTGTTCATCTCCGGCAAGGGCACTGGGACACTGCTGTAGTAGCCGGACGTGTTGCTGGAGCCAAGGGGATGGCCTGGCTGCCCCTTGCCCACAGGGGTAGCATAGACGGGGGAGTTCCTGTGCTCCAAGTCCACATCGATGTACGAGATTCTACTGATGGGACCCTCTGATATGTTCTGCTCTTCCTGTGAAGTGAAATGAAGGTTGACACACTACTTGTACATACATTTAATGGTTCTAAATTTTGAACATGTTACAATGAAAAATGCATATGACCTTTCTTAATCTATCTATATTGGTTACTTGACTAAAATCAACTACTTACATCTAATATTTCTTAAGCATAGTCTCTCCATCTAATTTCCCCTATTCATCCTAATCACTCTGTCTCCCCCACCACCTCATCTGTTGTGCCCTCTTTACCCCTGACATCATTCACATCCGCCTGTTCTCTGTGGTCTTCCAGCATCTGTTGTGCCCTATCTACCCGTGCCCACACCCGACCCCCGCACCCCACCCCCCCCCCTTTCACCACTGACATCCTCCTGCTCTCTGTGGTCTTCCAGCATCTGTTGTGCCCACTCTACCCTCATGCCCCACACCCCCCGCTTACCACACACATCCTCCTGCTCTCTGTGGTCCTCCAACATCTGCTGTGTCTGCCCCTCATGCCCCACCCCGTGCCCCACCCCTGCCACCAATCATATCCTCCTGCTCTCTGTGGTCCTCCAGCATCTGCTGTGCCCACTCTACCCTCATGCCCCACCCCCTGCTTACACACACATCCTCCTGTTCTCTGTGGTCCTCCAGCATCTGCTGTGCCCACTCTACCCTCATGCCCCACCCCTGCTTACACACACATCCTCCTGTTCTCTGTGGTCCTGGCATCCTGTGCCCTAGCACCTGCATGCCCCACTCTTACCACACATGCTCCTGTTCTCTGTGGTCCTCCAGCATCTGTGAATCTACCCTCATGCCCCACCACACACATCCCTCCTGCTCTCTGTGGTCCTCCAGCATCTGCTGTGCCCACTCTACCCTCATGCCCCACCCCATGCCCCCACCCTTGCTAACATCCATCCTCCTGCTCTCTGTGGTCCTCCAACATCTGCTGTGCCCACACTAACCCCGTGCCCCACCCCTGCTCACCACTCACATCCTCCTGCTCTCTGTGGTCCTCCAGCATCTGCTGTGCCCACTCTACCCTCATGCCCCACCCCTGCCACCACCCTCTACCACTCCTCCTCCTCCTGCTCTCTGTGGTCCTCCAACATCTGCTGTGCCCACTACTCATGCCCCACCCCGTGCCCCCTCCTGCCACCACTCACATCCTCCTGCTCTCTGTGGTCCTCCCAACATCTGCTGTGCCCACTCTACCCTCATGCCCCACCCCGTGCCCGCCCCTGCTACCACTCACATCCTCCTGCTCTCTGTGGTCCTCCAACATCTGCTGTGCCCACTCTATGAGACCAAGGGCGTCTGAAGGAATACTGACAGTAGGATCCTTCTTGTGGAGCAACACCAGGACCCGACACAGCTGATGAATCACACCCCTGACAAAGAAGAAATATCATGATGCTGTTAACAATGCCTCATGGACGGAAAGAGGTTTCCATCTTCACCTTTCAAATTTCTTAAACAAAATAAAAGTGATATAATGAAGTTCAACAGCATTTGGTAATATATAAGCTGTAGAAGACAGTCTGCACATAACCAAATCTGGATTGAGCAAATTCAGACTTGAAGTATACTAATAACTCATCCAAGTCAAATTACCCAACCTAAAATTTACAAAGTACAGGCTAGCTATTCTCGAAACGTTCGTAGCCCTACGAACTTCTTAAGCCCATTCTTAGCACATTGGCTATGATCAAAGTTAAGAATTCTTAGGGCTACGAACGTTTCGAGAATTGGGGTCCTGGGTCTAGATTTTCGAAGCTCTCTTAGCGCTAAGATAGTCGTAAGTTAATGTTAATGTATGGCACTTACGACTATCTTAGCGCTAAGAGAGCTTCGAAAATCTAGGCCCAGGTTCTTATGCTACAGGTTCTACCCTAGAATCCTCACTGGAAAGAAAGGAACAGAATTTGAAACTGGGAAAGGACCATCTTCATGTAATCAGACTTTTCACAAGCAACCTAATTTTGTCAAATGAACTCTTGTTCATTCTGCATCATTGCAATGTTCAAATATGTGATATGAAATTATACAGGCTATTTCAATCCTGACTTCCAACAATGGAAACACATCTCCTAATGACTGCTAACAGGAAACTGAAACATCACTCTCTTAACTACTCCGCTTGTGTGCTGGGGTTCTGGGGTGACACTGATGTATACTAAGCAGCCTGACACACATGTACGACTCATGTAGTTTAGGTGTGGGTATCAAGATACTATTACGAGCACAACTGAAGATGGATACAGTGTACTCTGTCAATACCGGCATCAGTCGGGACCAAATAAAAATGCCGGTTTTGACAGAGTGCCGGTTTAGCTAGGTTAAGCCTATGAATTTCAACTGATCATATATTATCGGCCAGAATTAATATTATAAACTATTTTTCGCAATGTTATTGAAAACAACGATTCTTGTTTATGCTTCGGCAGCTTAGTAACATCTCGGCTTTTCGCCGGCCTCCGTCTTGACCCGGACACTATGCTTAATGCAAAATGTATACATGAAGCATTTTTGTCTTAGGCCATAACCTAGCACGATATGCCCAATAAGTTCTATAATTTACGATAGGTAGCGATGTCTTGCTTAATATGTTCAGAATACATGTAGAATTATTTTACCCAAAACCTTCGATCCTAAAAGTTTTGGTTGGCGGTATCCATTTCCATAATATGATTGGCTGCTTAGGTCACGTGTCTGATTTTGACCAATCACGACCCTTATAAGCAGACTGTAGTGAAACGCGTCGTGAAGAAACCAATCTTTATCAATAAAATCGCTTCTTACAAATGTGAAAATACTCGGCAAGAGTACAGTGATATTGTTGATGTTCAGGAGCTTTTCGAGCGATACCGCCATCAAGCGATTAGCCTCTATGTAAGTGACACGTGCCACTCACTAATTAACAAGAAACTGATTGGCACTTCCCGTTTCTGAATAATCTCGGGAGTCAATACCCGCGAATCAACAAAATGTAAACACTTGCTTGTTTTTACAGTCACACTGCCCACTACATGTATTAATTACTCTAGGTAAGTGTTCATTACCACTCACTGATTAACTAGATGCTGATTAACACTTCCCGTTTCTGAATAATCTCGGGAGTCACAGCGGATTGTGTTGTTACATCATTTGGACCTAATCTCATCAAAGGGTTACGCCGTCTTTCATGTGCCGGTTTTTACAGATTCGTTTTCATAACAACTTGTTCGTTGGGACTGAAAAACAATGCCGATATCCTGAATAGACAGATGCCGATGTTTACAGATGTTTCTAAATGATAATTACGTGCATTTCTGCCGGGACTGAAACTTTGTGCCGATGTAGACAGAGTGCCGGTGTTTACAGAGGCCGGTATTGACAGAGTCCACTGGATAGTTTACAATGAAGGACTTCTGTTGAAAATCTAAGATTATTTTGAGTGACGACAGCCAAAATACTAGGGCTGCGCAATATAACCAGTTTACTGGTATTTACCGGTTCAGACATGAAAACGATACGTATTGCGATACGCTGATCGAAAACCGGTATTTTGACATGCATTCGGAAAACTTCGTAACACTCGGAAATCTTCGGATATTTCCGTTATTTTAATTGTTCTTTTCCCTGTTTCATTAGTGCCAAATGTTACTTACATTTTTATCTTGTCATGATCAAAAGTTTTTATTAAAGGTTAATCAATCATAGTATTTTTGTTGTGTTTTTGCTTTATAATCAAGCATTAACTCAATTATAAATAGTTTTTGTTAAAAAAATAATTCTTCCAATATATTGCAATACATATCGCAACATATGCTTCCGCATCGCAATATATCGCAATATGAAAATTCTCTGCAATACCCACCCCTACAAAATACAGGAATTTTTGCTCTGATACTATTATAAGCACAACTGATAATGGATAGTTGACAATGAAGGACTTCTGTTGAAAATCAGAAGATTACTTAGAGGGATGACAGCCAAAATACATGAATTCTTTGCTCTGATGTAACAGAGGCAGAGTAATCACAACAATTACATGTCACTTATGACGGCAAAAAGAGAACTGTAACAAGTCTCAATAAACCAGCCTACTTGTATGTCGGCACTCTGGGGTCCGACTGATCCATGCCACGCAGCTTGCGGCGTATCTGACTCAGCACCATCATGAGCGTTTCTGTGTGTGGCCGCAACTGCTCCAGTTGCTGTAGGTACACGTCAGAGTTGATCACATTCTGACGCAGGCTCAGGTGGCTCTCACTCTCTGGAGATAAAATACCAGGACTTAAATGGTTCTCTCTCTGTGCACAAACACAACAAAGGTGGTTTTCTTTCTCTAAGTGCAGAAACACAAAGTCGATGTATACGGTTTTCTCTCTCACTGTACAAAAACACAAACACGTCTCAATTGGTTCTACCTCTATACATAAACTCCAACTTGATTTCTCACATAAACAAGAGGTCACATGATACAAAACATGAATTAATAGACAGTTTTCCCTGAAACTATAAGTCTGTATGCTGATTATTTTCAGGTTTCCTCTACTGTCAGACCCTGCCTTCATTAAAAGCAGTTTCCTATTCCTATCTGTGCAGGAAGTCTCCACCCTAATTAGACGACTGGGTCTCATTTTAAATCTAAAGATAAAACATTTCCTCTATTAATTCCTACAGTCATATATATTTGCTGCTTCAGTGGTTGTTTCTGAGTGCAACTCATCTAAAAACATAAAATAATCGTATTTTCTAGATAATTTGAATAAACAAAACTTACTGTGTTTCCTCTAGTAAGAACCTGGGGCTCCTTTCACGAAGCAACCTTTACTAAGGTTAACCTAAACTCCCATTGTGTAACATTGCACTAAGGTTACCTAAGTGACTTATGATCACCTTGGTGCTTTCTGAAAGCAGGCCCTGGATCATTAGTAATTTCAGATTTCTACTACTTTTAGACCCAAATTCCATTCAAGCAAGCTCCCTTCACCAACCATATTTCCATATGTGCATAAGGTAAGGTGAGGTGAAATTGGGTTTTACGTTGTGCTTGAGAATATTTCGCTCATATGACTACATGTATGTGTGTGTATGTGTATGTGCGGCTGCTTGTACTAGCCCAGACTTAAACTGGTTTTATAGTGCTAGCCCACTGAGATACCAGGAAGAAATCATCAGCTGTAGCGGACAACCCGATTTCAGTACTGGCTAATGTTTTACACCAGGGAATCAGACCGCCTCTGTGGTGTAGTGGTTAGAGCGTCAGCCCGGAGAGCGGAAGGTCGCGGGTTCAATCCCTGACCGCGTCATACCAAAAAGACGTTAAAATATGGTACTTGTTGGTCCCTGCCTGGCGCTCGGCATTAATGGGTACAACAAGGACTGGTCGGCTCGGAATCAGTATAATGTGTCTGAGTGGGGTATTCATGCTTCACTGCGGCATGATATCTCAGTGGGCTAGCATTATAAAACCAGCTTAAGTCTGGGCTAATACAAGCAGCCGCACATACACATACACATGCATGCACGTCGTCATATGAGCGAAATATTCTCAAGCACGACGTTAAACCCAATTTCACCACCACCACACCAGGGAATCAAGCATTCTTCATGTGTATACAATATTAGCAATCTTTCTGTCTGCCGCATCTAAAATCTATATGTTTGAACAGTTTGATAGGACCTCAAGTGATTAAAAAATTTATCCTCTAAAAGACATTTCAGAATTTCTTACCAAATCCTTTGTTGTCATAAACAGGAAACTGAAAAAGGAAAAGCATGCATGTTCATGAAAGTTATTTGTATAGAGAAAAGTCGCATTGTTTAATGTGTTTATGATTTCTTTTTTAAACAAATATCAAAAGCAAACTCCGCACAAATAGTTTTCACAAGGCTGACAAAATTAAAACATTCAGCTATAACATTATGCATAACAATTACCCCAAAATAAATATTGGTATTTCAACATTCATGATTTACATGTGATGCATCACGTGTATGGTGACACAATGGTGTCAGCCATCAGGATGTGAGAACAGATTTAATCAGGTGACAGCCAACAATGGGTGAGTCAACAAACTTGCTTCACAAAGTATTACTGCAGCTTATGAAGTCAACTTCCTGGAGGTATTTTCCATGCCAACTCAATGTCAGCATGTCACTGATTAGACATTTTGTCATATAAACAGCAAATGACATCGCCAAATAATGACACATTGTCACAAAAATACACAATACATGCTGTTGTCCCGAACCTTGTGACAGCATTGAAGATTAGATCACCTTCAAAAATTGGGGATAATCGTGAAGATCAGGGTTAGAATTGGTCTTCAGTAACCCATGCTTGTTGTAAGAGGCGACTAACTGGATCGGGTGGTCAGGCTGGCTGACTTGGTTGACACATGTCATAGTATCCCAAATGAGTAGAATGATGCTCATGATGTTGATCACTGGATTGTCTGGTCCAGACTGGACTATTTACAGACCGCCGCCATATAGCTGGAACATTGCTGAGTGAGGCGTAAAACTAAACTCACTCACTCAAAATATGGACAATGTTTTACAAAAATGAGATCCTTGTCACTGAGGTGAGTTCCCAGACATAACCACAAAGGACAACAGAGCACCTGTCCTGGTGTGTACACAATGCATTATAATCACCATCCTTTACATCATCATCTTCATCACCAATGCCACCCTTGTTGGGGGTAGCCTAGTGGTTAACATGTTCACTTGTCATGCCAAAGACCAGGGCCCTGTTTCACAAAGCTCTCGTAGTGCTACGACTATCGTAAGTCAATGTTACAGTGTAGGAGGTAGGATTGCCTCGAGAAAAGTTACGAGATCTTAGGCTTACAAGGGCCCGTTTCACAAAGCTCTCGTAGCGCTACGACTATCGAAAGTCAATGTTACAGTATAGGAGGTAGGAATGCTACAAGGAAAGTGACAAGATCTAAGGCTTGCAAGAGCTTTGTGAAATGGGTCCCTGGGTTCAATTCCACACATAAGTAAAATGTGTGAAGACCATTTCTGGTGTCCTCTACCTTGATATTACTGGAATATTCCTAAAACGGTGAAAAACCATACACACGCAGCTTTGTTAATGATGCACTCACCTGTTTCACTTTGCCCATTTCAAGTTCTCTGGATTCATAATTCTTTTCTTGAAGATTGACATTCTTCCTGAAAACAGAATTAAGGGAATGTCAATGTCCTCTCAAATTGGATAACCAATAGTTCTTTACTTCTTTGCATATGTGTGCATCTGAGCTACTCACTTGCCAAGTCATGACACAATTTATCCCAAAATACATATTGTCCTAAGACACAATCTAACTCAGCACACACAATCTTCTCTGACGCTATCCTTCCAAGCACACATAATCTCTTGACACAATGTATCACAGCACAAATAATCTACTGACACAATGTATCCCAGAACACAATCTCCTGACACAATGTATCCCAGCACACACAATCTCCTGACACAATGTATCCCAGCACAAATAATCTCCAGACACAATGTATTCCAGAACATAATCTCCTGACACAGTGTATCAAAGCACACAGAATCTCCTGACACAATGTATCTCAGAACATAATCTCCTGACACAATGTATCCCAGAATATAATCTCCTGAAACAATGTATCCCAGCACAAATAATCTCCTCTGACACAATGTATCCCAGAACATAATCTCCTGACAATGTATCCCAGCACAAATAATCTCCTCATACACAATGTATCTCAGAACATAATCTCCAGACACAATGTATCCCAGAACATAATCTCCTGAAACAATGTATCTCAGCACAAATAATCTCCTCTGACACAATGTATCTCCAGAACATAATCTCCTGACAAATGTATTCCAGCACAAATAATCTCCTCTGACACAATGTATCCCAGAACATAATCTCCTGACAATGTATTCCAGCACAAATAATCCCCTCTGACACAATGTATCTCAGAACACAATCTCCTGACACAATGTATCCCCACAATTTTTTCAATACAACCAGTTTTCCTCTGGTAGAATTGGGGTTAACATATCACAATGACTCTGCCCAATTCCCAAACTAGACATAGTCTCACTGACATCCAGCAGAACTTACCTGGTCTTCCTCATGTAGCAGCACACAGCCAAGGTGATGATAAAACACAGCAACACAGCAGCCGCCACCCCCGCAATGATGGGGATGATATCTGTGTTGTCATTAGTCTCTGTAACATGAGAAAATCCGGGTCAGAATCGATCTTCAGCAACCTATGCTTGTCGTAAGAGGCGACTAACAGGATTGGCTGATCAGGTTTGCTGACTTGGTTGACACATGACATCGTATCCCAATTGTGTAGAACGATGCTCATGCTGTTGATCACTAGATTGTCTGGTCCAGACTTGATTATCTACAGACCGCCGCCATATAGATGGAATATTGATGAGTGCGGCGTAAAACAACAAACCAACAAACCCTGTAACAGGATGTTTCCTTCTGCACAAGCCAATCAAACTGTTACAGCTCATACATTCACAGCATGAATTGTCAGCATTGACTATACTGAGTACGAAAAGATTCAACCACAAAAGTATATTGACAGTTGTTGCGAGACATAAAACATGCCTCTTTCTCAATGATTGTTAACAGACAATTTGAAATAATGTTTTATAAAATCAGAGGTTAAGAAATACAGTATTGCTGCTGCTACTCAATTTGATTCACATTCAATTTAGCATTGTCACATCTGCAGATAATTTAGCTTTAGATTAAAAACACCATGTAACAATCTCATACTGAACTTTGCCACTGGGCAATATCTGAGGCATTATTTGTCAATCATTATTAAAATCATGACCAACTGATAAGCCAAATCAATATTTAGCTTCCTATTGTATACAATGGTTACTGTTTTCCAATATTTCTGAACTTCACTGACAAACACCATGCGACTGACCTGTGCAGACATTGCCACGGAAAGGCCCCTCTTCTGTAATTTCTGCCTTGCCTTTACACACAGACACACAGAGCCTAGTATCCTTCAAGATGAAGCTCACACATCTGAAAAATATTCAGTACCTGTGACATTGTGATCTGTTTAAGTACCTAAGATAACATTAACATTAACTTGTCCTGACTAATTTTCCACTTGCCCCGATTTTATGACATAATCATGATGATATAATTATGAAAGAATAAATCAACATAGTATTTGATGTTAATGTTTACTGGACTATTTATTGAAAAGTGATAAATAGCAAAGAAAGATAACTCTACTTTATTATCATTGCAAAATATAATAGCTACATTTTGAGCAGATATGAAGTTAAATGCAAGTTTATTTGCAGTTTAAAACCATAAGTGGAAATTATCTAGTAGCCCACGGACAAGTAAGATACCATTATTTGATTGCCCGAAATGAAAACTGACTTGTCCCTGGGCATTGGGCGATGGGGTTTTTGAACCCCTGCAAGGATGCAGAAAGAGGACTTCAAAGACATCATCAAGACAATTTAGAAGGAATGAATCAACAAAGAGTTTACATCAAATGATCTTGTGGTATATTGGATTAAGGTTTATTAATAGGTGCAACAATCTACAAAACTGTAAAAATTGATGAATATTCATTATAAACACTGAGTAAACTTATTACCTCATACAGACATCAGCTGACAAGCACTCCAGACAGTCTTTCGCACCAGAGCAGCTTTCTGAAACAAAGAACACAACAAATATACAGTCAGATTTACAAGTCCATGAGTGAGAGAGTTTGGTGTAGCACCCTAAATATTTAAGTCAGCTTTATTTTCTTTCCCATCTTGATTAAACAATGTAAATTTTAGCAAACAAAAAGAGACACAATATACTTGCACAGTATTCCTCAAAGGTTTAAGATAACTTCAACTTTTAGTAACTCGGAATGCTTTGGCAGCTCAGAAAAGTAAGAAGCCTTGAAACTGATGACTAACTGATCTGTCAGATCCTCACTGAGACTGAGTGAATGAAGACCGCCTCTGTGGTGTAGTTGTTAGAGCGTCCGTCCGGAGAGCGGAAGGTCGCGGGTTCGATCCCCGACCACGTCATACCAAAAGACGTTAAAATATGGTACTTGTTGGTCCCTGCCTCGCGCTCGGCATTAATGGGTACAACAAGGACTGGTCGGCTCGGAGTCAGTATAATGTGTCTGAGTGGGGTATTCATGCTTCACTGCAGCATGGCATCTCAGTAGGCTAGCACTATAAAACCAGCTTCAGTCTGGGCTAGAACAAGCAGCCGCACATACACATGCATGCACGTCGACATATGAGCGAAATATTTTCAAGCACGACGTTAAACCCAATTTCACCTCACCTCACCTCACCTCACCTCACCTGAGTGAATGAGTGATTGAGTATGGTGTTACGTCACTTTCAGCAATATTCCAGCAACATCACGGCAGGGGACACCACAAATGGGCTTCACACATTGTACCCATGTGGGGAATTGAACCCGGGTCTTCGGTGTGAGGAGTGAATGCTTTAACCACTAGACTACCCCATCGCCCTTTGTCACAAAGAGGAATCTTCGAAGTGAAACATCTGACTTCAGTGAGCCTGGCAACAACCTTTACTCACCATTCAAGCAATCTTTGCCATTGCTGTGCAGGACATAACCGCTGGGACAGTAGCACTGGGAGGTGGTTGTGTTACAGAAAGCCTTCCAGCCACAGTCAGCAACCTTCGTGCAGTTCTTTCCTGGCAAATCAAAATTCATTGGAATGGTCAAAACGGATTTCCATGCCACAATTTGTAACAATAACTTTCTAATGGTTTTCTGGTTGGCAGCTTGCATTAACTGATTATTTGATTGTCTCCCCTTAATAAATCATCTGTGATGGTCTGTGAAGGAGATTTAAGTCTATGAAAATGCAGTTTGGCGGATGACAGCTATGTCATGTGATCAATAAACATTGAAAACGTGAAGTTGTTGTGAATGTACCAACACAAATTGTCTTATATAATAATAGATACAGTTACTGATGGTGATAAAACAAATATATAAACCGAGTACCACAATCCAACACATAAATAAATGACAGGGTGAGTATGGTTTTAAAGCCACTTTTAGCAATAATCCAGCAATATTACAACGGGGGACACCAGAAAAGGGCTTCACACATTGTACCCATGTGGGGAATTGAACCTGGGTCTTCAGAGTGACAGGCGGACGCTTTAACCACGAGGCTACCCCGCCGCCCACATAAATAAATGAGGACTCACCTGAAGTGTTATTAATCCCCATACATCAATTCAATCTCTACTGTCTCAACAAGAAGACAAAGTCATCAATATCCCCAGCAATGGCAAAATATTCTTCATGAATATGTCTACGAGTTATGATTATGTCAAATGTTTTGGTGTGTATATAGCTAAGTGGAAGGAGAGTACTGAAGGGTTTCAAAGTTCTGCTCCAGAAAGGAGCACTACCACCAACTTCAGTTGAAACCAAAATTGTTAACATGGAAACACAAAAAAAAACATTTTATTCAGCAATCCAAAACTAGCAAAAGGCACCAGTTCACCACTAGACCACCTATGTATGAAATTTGGTGCTGAAACAGTGAACAGTTTTTAAGTTCTGTTCCGGAAAAGAGCACTACCACCCATTTCAGTCAACCTGAAACTTGTTGCCATGGAAACGCCAAAAATATTTTATTCAGAAATCCAAACTACCAAAAGGCACCAGTAGACCACCAGATCTATCTATGTGCCAAGTTTGGTGAAGAAATATTGGATGTTTTATTATGCCATATACAAAGTGTTCCGTTAGTATGAAACAGTAAATATCAAAACAAAACAAACATTTGTTTACAACTTCAACACTTACCATTGAATTCCAACGTGTTTACGTTCGTCATGTTACAGTGTTGAACAGTCACAACGTTGATCTACCCAATACCGATACATACGGCGAAAGGGGACGACTTATATTTGAGTTACATGGTTTTGGCAAGAATTTAGAGGGTTGAGAAAGGGGCCCGACTTATAGTCAGATCCGACTTATAGTCGGTCATATACGGTAACTGTATGTTTTGATAATTTCTTTAGAGCCTGGAATGAATCATCTGATCATGTGGACTGAGGGATGAAATGATGCATGTAACTGCTCTGAAAGAAACAACTAAACACTTAGGTAAGTCATAGATGTGTTGCGGGTACAATGAATAATATTGTGCATCCCTTTGGATGCAGTGAATTTTTTTCTGCATCCATTCTCTTCATTTTTGCATACTGGACTCACATTTGCACATCGCATAAAACCCTGTGAAGACCAATCTAACTTGGATCTTCACGGGTTTAAGTTTAGTACTGGTGTACATAGTACATACCAATGACAGCAGCTGAAACAACTTGAGAGGCCGATACACTGAAGATGCTGACTATCACCACCGAGGCTATGTGACTCTTCATCTTCGCTCACAACAAACCCATCAGCTCAGCATCTCTGGGGAAAATATACATTCATCATCATTGTTTAATCGGCATTCTAGAACTTGGTGAGTCAAGAACGAAACATTCAATTTTATGGATGACAACTTCTTCTTTATTGCATAGAGCAACGTTTCGATGTAGATTCTTACATCATTATCAAGCTAAAACGCCTCTATGCAATAAACAAGAAGTTGTCATCCATAAAGTTGAATGTTTCATTCTATTCCTCATCATACTGCCATTGGGAAAGAAAGCATGATATTCCCAAGGTGAATTTACTCTTCCATTTCATTTCAGAGTAATTGGTACTGGGACAGTGTAAAGGAAAGTTTGTTGTTTTTCCTATAAATACAATAAAACAAACTGAACTTAATCTTGGAAATATTAAACATAAACTTTTTCCTAAATAACTTCAATGGCATTCCCAGAGACAAACACAAAAATATACATGACACTTCAGTTGGGGTTTAACAGAAAATTTTATGATTCTTATGGCTTCTTGCAATTTGGGAAAAGAATGATAATAGGAGTGTAACAAAGGTATCTTGTGCTTGATTGTTGATTATCTCCCTTGTTGTCACATTTGTACCCGCTTGTCACTTTGTCATATTTTCTCCAGTACAGCACACATATAAGCATAGTGCACACACCCTTCTGGAAGGGTCAGCATTTGGGAAAAAGTAATTTCCAGTTATGTTTCATGTCTAGAGCTGTGACCATATATCGTAGTATCGACAATCATGATACTCTATCTGATGATAAATATTTATTATATAGGTAGTATTTTTCCTGTACCATGATTGGTCAAAATACCGTCACATGATTGACTACAAAACACTATATTGACTTGAGTTTTCTGATAAATTACGATATTGACTTGGGTTACTAAAAATAGACAAGGAATCCCGTAGGAAGGGGCTTCCCCCGCTTTTCAGCCAATCAGATCACTCGGATAGATGGCACAATATGAGCATTAAAAGTTTATGTTAAAACCTGTTTCTCTTGCATTATATAATAAAACAATTATAGACTCTTGTAGAATTCGATATCGGTTTTATTGACCTGAGAAAAACAATATCGACCTCGCAAAGCTCGGTCGATATTGTTTTACTCAGGTCAATAAAACCGATATCGACCTCTACAAGAGTCTATAATTGTATAATGTCGATTCTTTTTTTCATATCATGATATGTATTGATGACCTTAAAATTGTTAATTTTCACTAGAAATTAATGGTTATGTAAAATTTACACTGTTACTTGCTATCAAAATACACTTTTGCAAAGAAAATAACTTAAGATAGCATATCGTAATATGTATCGAATTGAATCGTATTGTTCCAAGATATCACGATACGTATCGTATCGTGAAATTTCAGCATCGTCACACCTCTAGTCATGTCACTTTAGCAAACTCAGGTATGAATGAACACATATCAACAAACTGGTCAATAAATATTTAAAATTTAAGATAAAACATCGAAAGACATGATTAGCATGTGTGTATTCTCATAAACTAAGCACAATATCAACAGTATAAACTTTGCTCAGACTTTTGAAGGTTAGGGAATGTAATATCATACTTGTTGTGTTATCATATTTCAGGCATGTAAATGATACAGATTAAGGTGCATTCCATTGTGAATTATCTCCCTTTGATTATTGTTGATCTTTGTTTACTTACATGAGTTCAATAACAGTTTGTTGGTCCCTGCCTGGCGCTCGGCATTAATGGGTACAAGGACTTGTCGACTCGGAGTCAGTATAATGTGTCTGAGTGGGGTATTCATGCTTCACTGCGGCATGGTATCTCAGTGGGCTAGCACTATAAAACCAGCTTCAGTCTGGCCTAGTACATGCAGCCGCAATACACATACACACGCATGCACGTCGTCATATGAGCGAAATATTCTCAAGCAAGAGGTTAAACCCAATTTCACCTCACCTCGATAACAGTTGTACCCTCAGTTCAAGAGACGAATACGATATCAAATGATAGCGATATAATGAAACCATGTATACTAGTCAAAGTAAGTCAAGAACACCCAATTCTTTTCAAAACATGTTTATATCTGCCATGACCACACCTAACAAGCAAAGCAATTAAGGTGCTTCTTTCAGGTTCAGGTTCTTTTTTAGTTCATGTTATCTGATGATAAAAAAATATCTCATCTGATGTGGAAAAAATTAAATCTGAAAATCACTTAACTTTCAATATTCCATCAAACATGCCTATACACCTTTATGTATTGAGTCTATTGACCTAAATGAAACTGTAAACACAATGAGCATATGCAGAGATGCCAACACTATTTTGGGCCTAAGTGTAATAATAGAGGTCAAAAAAGTGTAATTTGGACATAAAAAGTTTTTATACTTGTCTGCCGATCACTTCAACATGGTACACGTTTTCACGAAAGGAAGATTCTAGACAGAAACACATGTGACCGATCATTATGAAGCTCCATACATTGAAAATTGTTGGTCATGTGACTCAAAATACTTTAATTCCTTTCAAGTTTATTGGAATGAGTGCGATGCTAAGAGTAAGCGATTCCTATCGATGTAAGGCCATTTCTGCACCCCTGCACCTGTGTGTTACAAAACACTTCCCTGTGAAATTTTACCCACTTTATTGATTTTCGTAAAAACGAGTAGAAAAGTGTAATTTTCACAGATTAAGTGTAATGGCGTAATTTACTGGTCCAAATCGTAATAATTACGCCTAAAGCGTAAGGGTTGGCATCTCTGCATATGTACGGGAGAAACAAGTTCAGCTTGACAATGATACACAGAAAAATACATTCAGTAAAAAAAGGTCTTTTTGAATATATTTTCGAAACCTAACTACAAAGATGCAAATCAGGCTATGTTTCACAAAAAATCCTGCAAACTAAGAATAATGTCAGCCCCACAATCAATTCCAATTCAATAGCGAAACACATACACATTCTCTGTTACATCTAAATACATCAGTGATATATTCTGATTGTTCATCAGTTGCCAAGCTTAGTGGACAATATTACCATATTCATTTCATTTTGCGCATTTTTGTAGCCATGACTTGACACTCACTCACTAGAGATCTCCATGACAACAGTGATATGTAATACTGTGATCTGCAGACATTTCTTTTAGTTCCCTCAAACACACAAACAGAGCTGGAATCAGGCCCCATGTACATAATACTATACACACACATCCTGTACATCGATATACACAATGTACAGAATGCTGCACAGTGTGATCTGGGAACTAAATGGAAGGAATCATTCACAGGTTAGATCTTTCATGCTTCAAATATTAAGATCATCATAATTTACATATCATATTTGAATTTTTTCTCTAATGCTTAAATGTCACATGCAACGTAAAACATAACTTTGCAGATTCTGATACCTTTCGGTATGGACTTACCGAAACAAAGCGTCAAAAATGCTAATTCAACTTATAAAGTTGAAAAATAACGCGATGAAAAAAACCACGCGAAATCGGAGTTCAAACGTTTCACTAATTTTCCCCAGACTTTTCTGGGGAATACGGGTTTCAACAGCTGGGCTGCGCTCATAGCACGTGCGCAGTGAAATAGGTTCGCGCAACTTGGAAGCGGGCTGTCTGGTGAATACTCGGTGAAGGCTTTGGTGTGAGCTATTTTCATAATGTTTTGTTGATATCTCACAGGCGCGAGCTTTTTATATGATATGACAGTAAATAAACTGTTTATATAATTTCATTTGTCTATTTCACCACACGTTCTTCTTACCGAGTAACTTTCTCAGTTCGATACTTAAAAGCAATGTCATTATTTAGCGTTGACAGAATTTCTAACTGTGATATAGATATGTCTCTGTCACAGACAAAACTCAATGCCTTGTTTTATTGACACCTGTGTGTCTGCTAATGACAATATTCAATACACAACTGCGATCACTGACCACATGCAATTTGAACTTAACACCAATCAGGCTATACACCATAAACAAAACGCATTGATTTATGGCCCAAGTTCGGTCTCTGTCACATTATGTAATTACACAGACAGGCAGGTGTGATACTTGAACACATGACATGTTATGATGTCTGTTGATTGCTAAATGTTATACACAAAAAATGAGCATGTATTTACAAAACCCAACATCTCTATATATACACACACAATGAGCCGTGAAGGCGGCATCTACTAATGAACCAGCCGCTACACTTGAGTGCACACCCACCCACTCTGACTGGGTTCGGTATCCCGGCTGCTTTGTTTCGAGGGAGGTTAACCCAAGTACAAAATATTGCACTTTTGATTTGCGATTATACGCTTATAATTTTGTTTATTTGTTTTTTCATAATCAGCAATGCATATTATATGTCATGAAGAAGTGATAATTGTGTTTTAATTATGTTTGATTTTTTGGTTGCATGTGACCTTTAACAAATCTTGCAACTGTTTACTCCAGTACATATTCCAGATTCCCATTTCCCGTAGCCAAATATTAAATCTTTCACAACGCGTTTTACATAGTAGCATTTTCATGAAAAAACAATTAATCTTTCTCTCATATCTATTCAATTCTAATAAAGGTTTTTGATACATGACCTAGTTATCAAAAATCATAACGCTTTTACCTGTTCAAGTATTTGGTAATACTGTCATAAACAAAAATGAACATTTCAGACTACAGTACAATTTACAGAGAAATGTTCAATACATACTTGATTAATTATTTACTTGAGATTTTCAAGGAACTAAATGCCATGTTCTGGTGATTAACTGTGTTGGCACTGGGTCATTTTGACATGCATCTAACAGGGCACTGGGTCATTTTGACATGCATCTAACAGTACTATTGTCAGTTGAGTATTGTACACCAGATTGATTATAGGTAAAATGGAATCTACCCGGTAAGTAAATTCAAAGTCACATCAATGGGTTGTATGAAAACAGGCAGAAAGAATCAATATGCTATGTGCTAGTGATGTTCTGATGATTGAAAATAATCGAAAATCGATCGAAAGGATTAAAAATGATTATCGATTGTAAAAAACATATTTTCGATTAATCAGAATTTTGTTGTTTTTGCATAACACCCTTGAATGAAGTAAACTAGCCATCAAATTTGACGAATATTCACGAACAAACATGTGCTCAACAGCGTAAAGGTATGCACATTGTAAAATTTTAACCACTTTCATTGATTAATTACAATTCCAGTGTCTTTCTTGCATGCGTGCATTTCATTGCATGACAGCATTAGTTAAAAAAATAACATTAATTAGCAAATAACTGGGGAAAACCCCTTAAAATTGGTGATTACATTAAAAAAAATGTACATATATCGATTATAATCGATAACCCTTCACCACAATCCTCCGATAATCGATAGCGGATTTGGTTTCCAGGGATTTACATGGAGTCCTGTATTTGAGTGTCCCTGGGACTCATATTCTTAATTTTCAGGGTCTTGGACAACAGAATGGGGGTCCCAGACTCTTAAATATTATCATTAAAACTGTTATTGTATTGTGTATCATGATCATCACATTGTTACAGTAATTAAATTGCAAATAATACTATAACCCAGCTAGTAGCAAACTCAGTGATAACTTATTGTCACTTTATTTGAATTTTTACGAAAAGTATTTAGACTTTTTCTGAGTCCCTGTGGACGCGCTAATATATTTTGTTGCGTCCATTGTCAATTTTCATGGGTATAGGACGCAGGAATTAGCGTCCTGTAAATCCCTGGGTTTCCGATTCCCAAAACTACTATGTGCAAATATGACCGGTCGACACATCGTATTTGTGGCAAAGATCGACTTTTGGCATTAACATTTCGAAAACATATCAGAAAGAAGCACTCTTCCCCTTCCGTTGCGGAGTACACTAGCAATTTTATAGTTATTTCCAACCCTGTGATGATTAGGCTTGTTTATTTGTTTGTTGTTTAATGCTGCACTCAGCAATATTCCAGCTATATGGCGGCGTCTGTAAATAATCAAGTCTGCACCAGACAATCCTGTGATCAACAGCATAAACATCGATCTTCACAATTGGGATAAGATGACTTGTGTCAACCAAGTCAGCAAGCCTGACCAGCCGATCAAGTTAGTCTCCTCTTATGACAAGCATGGGTTGCTGCAGACCAATTCTAACCCGGATCTTCATGGGTTTGATGCATAGGGCATGTTAAACAACAGGTGATTGGCAACATGAACATGTCTGTTTTTAATCTGAAGTAACCAATAGCAGAATACAGGACACATGAGACCAACATTCTGACACAAATGTTATGCTGAGATGATCAACTATGCTTGATGACTGTGTTTAATGTACTTCAAACTATTTGCCCCTAAAATTACTTACACTGATAAAAGTCTATAGTGAATGCATCACAACCCAATCTTGTCCCATAAATACTAGGGGTGGGTATTGCAGAGAATTTTCATATTGCGATATATTGCGATGCGAAAGCATGTATTGCGATATGTATTGCAATATATTGCATGAAGTATTTTTAAACAAAAAACTACTTATAATCGAGGTAATGCTTGATTTATAGAGCAAATACACAGCAAAATCAGTATGCTTGATTAAGCTTTAATAACAACTTTTATTCATGATTAAAAATAAAAATGTGAATAATATTTGGCACTAATGAAAAAAGGAAATATCCGAAGATTTCCGAGTGTTACGAAGTTTTCCGAATGCAAGTCAAAATACCGGTTTTCGATCAGCATATCGCAATACGTATCATTTTCATGTCTGAACCGGTAAATACCGGTAAACCGGTTATGTTGCGCAGCCCTAATAAATACTATTGAAATACTGGATCATGATACATGATGACAGTGAAAGTGAACTATTGGGAATTCAAACCAATGAATAAACCACGAATAAAGTGAATATTCTACTGCATAAATTGTTCCTTATTGTATATTTTAGGTGCCATTTTGGCACAATGAAATCAATGAGCCATTTTAGCCTCCAAATTCACAATGTACCCTTGTGTCATGTAAGTTTGATCACTTAAGAACTGTCGCTGAACTTTCAAAGTTATATTCATATAATCTTATTTTCAAATCTCTTACCTCAAAACTTGTTTATTTATGTCAAACATTTCCGAAATCCAGGTATTTTTACTACTTTTCTCAATCGCGGCATGGCCACCCTCTCAATGTCGACACAATTGACCCAGAAAGCTATGTCACACAACTTCGATCATATGATTGGCTGGCTTGTCGCGTAAACAGGATGACTTGTATGGACAATCTCTTGTGTCAAATTCAGAGTTAGAGCAGTCCCAAGTAATTTTATGGCATTTATGTCTATGAAACGTTCATTTTATGTTTCAATAATTCCAAAAACGATGAAAAGTCAAAAATATTCAGCTTATATACAAGTATTATGCAGGGAGTTATTCTTCAGGCTCATTGTGACGGGCACCAAACCTCAGAATGTTGACAAACACCACGAGCTGGCTTGCAGAAAACGTAAATGTGTTCTGTGCTGACATGTAGGGTGGGTACATTGTGCCCAGGTTGTATTTATCAATGAGGCACTAGCTCGAACCTCATCAGGTACAAATTGATGGAAATTCTCAAAAAGCATTAACTTTTCTATAAGAAATGGCCCTTATTTGTTTCCAAAGTTTTAAATTTTGACAAGGATATCCAAGTGTCTGGTCATGCGACATTTAGACCAGCAACGTAAACAAGCAGAAGACAGGTGTGCTGTCAATTTACAACGTGTGAAATAAATACTGTTTACATTTTATTTGAGCTGATAAAGTTATATAATAATATATTATCTAGGGTTAAAAAGTTGTTGTTTGCTGAATATGAGCTATAACTTACGTTTGGTAACTTGACACGAAACATTTTCCGGTCCAAACGAATGAAAGCGGTGTCACCAGAAGATCAAAGCTGCAGATATCATAAGTTATCACTACATATCGCGACAATTACCATTCAAAATGGGCGATCGAAGTTACATGTCGATCGAACTTGTGTGACTTGATGATATTATTAGATGTACTGTAAGTATATCACATATATTGCGGATTTAGGAAAACAGGTAAATAAAAGTCAGTTATAAGTTTGCATATTGGAAATAAGTGAATTTAAATGCATTATTAAAAACTCACAATTATTTATCATTATTTTGATCACATGTGATTTGATCAATTATTGATGGACCTGAGGACTCAACACGACAACAGTAAACACAAGCAGGTCATCTCCCCACAATAAATAGGATAACAGTGACAATTTCTCCAGTGAATATACATCTTGTCTAAACCTGTGCATGAACGCTTTCGAATTTAGGCGGAATTAGAATTAATCTTCTGTGTTAGCTGCATCTTTTCCTGTACAGGGGGCAGAATACGTTTGTAAACATTGCCGGGCAACATCTAAGTCTCCCTAACATTTAACATTCCTTTCTAAACCGAAATAGACTGAGGGCTCTGAAAATACAGACAGGAGTATCTAAAGCTCCTTAAACAAATCAAACCTGAGCGTTTTGTAGAATAGTAGCGATATAGACTTGTGTCACGTTCTTCCGTGCCCCTTACCACACTTGGAGAAGTGGGAACTTTCAGACAGGTTCTCGCGAATAACAAATAAGATCGGGGTGACGACAATTTCATATAAAAGCAAAATCACAACTTTGTTCAACATTATATTTTATGTTAATACATTTTCATTAGTTAAGAAATATTTATCAAAATTAAATAAAATTATTTCACATGAAATATGACAAATGTTTTCGTCACACGCGATCCAGATTTATTATATTTCGGTAACGGTAATTCATGGCTTGTAAGCAGTAGTATAATTGCCGTTCTGGTAAACAGATTTACTGTTACTAAAATTAAACTTGTATTTGTTTACTATTATATATAGATAAAACTGTCAGTTTATTTCATGGCGTGCTACTGTCATGTGTGGCTCATTATGCTATTTTTCCCAAAATGTGTTGAAAGATAGGCGTACACAACTTGATTGAAAGTGGCTGTTATCTTTACCTCCCCGCAGGATTAGTCACAGGAAGTGGTATTTCGCCATTTTTCTACTCCAGGAAGGACGAAGTCGGTGTCTTCAGACAAATACTTTTGAGATTTGAGGGTAATTACGTAGTTTATGTGTAGTAGGTAAGATTCAGTTATCACATAATAGTTTTCAAGTTATTACATGATAGTATTTTTGTTTTCAGGAATAGACAGCAGCACAAACTTCCCTGAACCGTTGTTTGTTCATGTCAGGCAGAAAAACAAGACGTCGGAAGTTATCTGAAACATCTGCATTTCACACTATAGGTTACTTCCGTCTGTATATGTAGGGCAGCGTGACTTTCATCGTGGAACTAATCATTTCATGTCAAATCACATATTTCAATATGAAAAAGTAATACTTAAAAGAGAGAATTTGTACAAGTGAAAGTTCGATACTGTCACAACCATGTACAGACCATCCTTGAACAGTACTTTCTACTTGTGAAATAAGCCTATCCCTATAGCATTCGGAGAATACCTTTAACATTATAAAAAAACAAGTGCTTAGTCTAAGCTTAGCCATTTTAGGTCATCCTGGCAGTTTCATTTCTTGGTAAATTCAATGTCTATCCGTGTGTTTGAAACATGTAGGAATATGGCATGATGGTTTCAGATTCTTGAACATGTTGAACTTCAAATATATTTTCCCCAAAATTCGTTTATCATAAAAAGGTTATAAATGACATGTAGAAACTCCTGATATTCCTAGAAAATTTGATGTATATCTCTTTTTAACTTGCGATTTACTCAAATGCTATTTGGGGTGAGAACACCTCACCGATGCCCAAGCATATGCCATTGAATTTATTTAAATATGTAAAACTTTATAGATGTTTGACCAAGCTAAACAGTGACTTTGGATCATTGTACCATGACACTGATGACTAATGCTGAAACTGTGAACAATTGGACCGTCTGACTTTGTCTGTCCTGATTGGATTATTTTACACAAATTGCTTTGATAATAGTATTTAAGATTGCTGCCTTCAACAGCATTTACTGTGCATCAATAACATGTTTATTCAGAAACACAAGTCAAAGTGTGCACTCTTTTTTCCAAATGTTTGTACAGACCTAAAGTCATGTTATATTGTCCATATGTGTATGCAATTTTCACTCAATGGTCTTGTTTTTCTACCTGTCTCTATAGCAAAGGGGGACCTATGTCAGTTGTAATATATCATCACCTCAATTTATAAGCCTATTTACCAAGTGTTATATGCACTAGACATAGCAATAATGTGGCAGATACATAACTACAATAAAATACATTAAATAAATACATCTGAACATGAATTTGAAATTTCACCAGAATCTATGCCACTGAATTCTTTTTGGGGGTAAACAAATTTTGTTCTATATTAATAATTACAGTGGGCCTAAGGTTGTTCTTACTGACGACCTTTGAAACACTGAGGTACTATTTGTCTTTATTTTAATAAAAGACATCTTATAGGCATAATGTTGTCTGCATGTATCCTATTGTATATATTTTAATCCCATTTATTTATACATGGTATCTTATTTGTTTCAGATTATCCCATAAAGTTATGAAGTTTTAGCTTATAAAGTACTTCACAGGAGTGTTTGTTGTTTTAATATAAAACTGACTGAAACAAGATGCCAACTATACGCCGAACACTAAAAAATGTGGTTAAGAATTACTCTGACGCTCAAGTTAAGGTCCGGGAGGCCACCTCCAATGACCCATGGGGTCCGTCAAGTACTCTCATGTCAGAAATTGCAGACTTGACATACAATGTGGTGGCTTTCACGGAAATTATGCAGATGGTGTGGAAGCGTTTAAACGATGATGGCAAGAACTGGCGACATGTGTATAAATCATTGATGGTACTAGACTACATTATTAAAACTGGTAGTGAGAAAGTAGCACAGCAATGCAAGGAAAATTTTCACGCTGTGAAAACTTTGACCAGTTTTCAATACATTGATGCTGGAAACAAGGACCAAGGGATGAATGTGAGAGAAAAGGCAAAGCAGCTCGTGGCACTTCTCTCTGATGATGAACGTTTAAAAAATGAACGTGCAAAGGCTCTTAAAGCCAAAGAACGTTTTGCACAAAGTGCTATGGGTGTAGGAAGTACAGGAGGGGACAAGGTAAGTCCTGCCATGATTGTCATTTCATAAGTGTGTTATGTTTTATGTGAATTATTGTTTTATATAAACAAAAATGAAGTGTCTTTGCATTTCTTGTTGATGCTGGTTTCGCAGTATCTATGGATCAGAAATAATGAAGGGCATGACTATCCCAGTGGTACCGACACACTTACTGAGTTGCTTCCCTTTACCATGGATCGGACAGATCTGCAATGATATATCTTGGGTTTCACAGTAAGTGCCTTCAGCTGACAAATTGGGAAAATATAGTGTAATTATCAAACATTTCGATTATATACGTGTTATTATATGTTCAGACAAAATTTGAATTTTTGTTTAAAAGTGGAAATTTTTACTGAAATTTGCGGCAGATTGTACTGCATGTTAGCCTTTGATCGGGTCTTGCTATATCATTGGGCCTTTATAAGTACATTTAGCTTGTCTGTAGTTTTTAGACCTGGGCGTTCTACCATATTCACCATAAGCACACACACCATTATAAAACTGAACTTCTGTTCAAAGACAGGTTGAACCCAACTCCCTCCTCAGTGGAGCTTGCATTCACATATTCCTGGTGTGTATTTGTATAATTGGATAAAATACTACCACTAAGTAAACTTGTTAAACATGCAAAATATAACACTCAAAGGAAAACATATGCTCTTTCAAATATCTAAGTGACCTAGCCCATCATGCCATGACACATTAACTTTGGAGTATGAAAGAATTGGTGCAGTTTTTAGTAGTAGCTTGGTAACATTGATGAGATTTGGCATGATGGTATATATTCTCAATGCCTCTAAAACTGTTGTAGGGGCGGTGGGGTAGCCTAGTGGTTAAAGTGTTCGCTCATTATGCCAAAACCCGCTCACTGTAACTGTTGTAGCGACATTTCAGATGTGCTAACATCATATGTTTAGACTTAAGTTTGCCTCCAGTAATATAGAGTTCTGCTAAAATGAGATTCATGTTCAGAATGCACACCATTGTACACGAAACTGGTTTCCTTCCTTATCCTCATTGAAATAAGTTCCACTTCCTGACAAATGAATAAACCACTTAGAACGAACTTGAACGATACAGTGACCCTTGCCCAAGAGTTCGAAGTTAGGACCATTATGTGAAACATGCAGTGTCATCAGTTTCATCAGTTTCAGAGTTAAATGTGCACATGTTGATATTTATCTTTTTGCAATTGAAATGTTTTTAAAACATGGAATACCAACATTAATGCATTTAGGTTTTGTGGTATTTGGGCATTTTCCTGATTGTACTGATTATAAAACCCTTTAGCATGTTTAGAGAATTTGAAATTAAATTGTCCAAAAAATTTGAATAACAAGTTCTTAGATTACGGATAGGTTTTTGCTTTGTTTTTGCAAAATGCTGTCAAATGCACCCAACAAGCAGATTTGTATTTACATAAATTAATTGTCCCGATAACAGACTACTCCATAATATTGCATAATATTTTTAGTTCATTGTTTAACTATGATAAAATGTGGTCAGTATATTGAGAAAATACTTTCACATTTCTTTGTATTTATAATAAAATAGTTGTATTTATAATAAAATAAATTAAAATCATCATCCGACAGCAGTTCAAATGAATATTCTTCCAATTATGAAATGCTGTTTGACACAGTGTCACTCATGTACTCAATAAAAAAAGTTAAGAACCACCCTGATATTCAATATTTAAGTATTATTTGGATCCTAATATGAACTATTAAAAATATGTTTCTGTAAGTGTTGCTTTGGCTACAAGTTTCTGTTGAGTATTTGACTGAAGAGATTGTTCCCAACAACAGAGTAACAGCTGAGGTGCTATTTTAGTCGAAAAATAAACAGCTGTTTGTAAGTGGAAGAGAACAGCAGTGTGTTAATGCCAGTATATTGCAGTACATATCGAAATACATTCCTAAGTGTAGCAACATATTGCAACACACACTTTTCCAGACAATACACAGCCCTTAGAGAACATACACTATTACACATTTTAGTGACATTTTCAAGATATCCTTGGAGTGTATGAAGGAAATCTTACATTGAATCCTTCCATTTGTGACACTGGATGAGGTTTCTGTTAGGGATGCCGCTATACATCGATACATCGATGCATCAATACTTTTCTAAGACGATACAATTATCGATACATTCTAAACTGTAGTGTATTGATATTTAGTTTTGAAAGTATCAGTTTAAATATGTTTATGTATCGTTTACGTTTTGCAATTGTATTATGTTTTGTTATGAGAGTAATAAATGATTATTTTTCATGCACAAAGATGGAAAGATAGAACTTTTTAATCTCTGAGAATAGAAAAATATTGATCTTTTCATAGACAATTATAAAATATGAAATATTAATGTTCAAAATGTAACTAAATTTACACAATAATGCCGCAAAAATAGGTATCATATTTATCGCATCATGACATGGGTATCGTGATATGTATCGATACATGACACTTATGTATCATGACATCCCTAGTTTCTGTATCACAGACAGGACACATAAGAGAAGTGTGTGATTTTTTGTTTCACTTATTGTACATACAGAAAAGAATCTTCAATCTTTACTGTTATGCCCTTCATTTAAGACATTCATATTGATGTGTATTTTTATGATCATTTCTTGTTTTCATTTTAGACTAGATTTGAAGCAGGCAGTCCAACCCTCCATGGTTATGCTGACCCTTATGGTGGTGCAACAGGCTCAGGATATGATGATGGTACGCCTGATATTCTTGTCATGTTTGAACTCCCCCGACATGAAATAGGGCTGGGACGATTCACCAATGCACTGATACATCACGATACATTAAAATTTGATACAGCTATTGTATAGTCGACTGGTGTTTCGATACACAACGATACACGACTTTTTTAAAAAACAGTATTATCTTAAACATGATCAAGTACATATTTCGAAAAATACGCAAGTATGATAGTGTTACTTGTTTGTTTATTACAATAGTGTTGTTGTTATACACAAATACCTTGAAATAAATCATTTTAAATCTTAATACTGTGTCATTCTTTCAAGGTGTATGTATCGCGATATGTATCATGACATGGTGTATCGTCCCAGCCCTAACATGAAACATGGGGGATGTCGTTTTGTCATAAGGCTAAGAGCTAATTGACGCTAATGTTTGCTAAGAAGAGATTTTTTTGTTTCTCATCAATTATTTGACTCTGTTGTTTTCTTTTGGGGCCAGGTTTTGCTTTAGCCTGATTCCAACTTTTACATTAGCTGATCCATTCACAGGGTGTCAGATTCACAGGTGATCATCACCATGTGTCGCATTGTGCAAAGAGTAACAGTGGGCTTTAGTAACAAAAAGTCAACTACTGAAGAAAGAAATTCCTCTAAGTGATTAAGTGATGCATGCATCCCATGAACTTCGACATTGCACCCATTTACTCGTGTCCCTTTTAGCTGTTTCAGTGTCGCCGACCAGTGGCGGGAGTGGGAGCCGGCGTATGTCTGTTGAGCTTGACCACGCTCGACCAGCGTCCGTCGGGGAAGAGGAACTCCAGCTGCAGCTGGCTCTCGCCATGAGCAAGGAGGAACACGACGAGGAACTACGCAAGCAGAAGTCGGACGATATTAAACTGCAAATGGCCCTTGATGAGAGTCGCAAGCATGCTGATGAGGTATGTGAAAGCTGTTTGTATTCTGAGAAAATTGTCTGTTTTGATCTCTGACGTTCAGTAGATACAAAGGATTATGGTTGAGTGTGTATTCTGAAGCATGAAAATGCAAGGCTCAAAAATGGTTTTGTAATTTTTGTAACTTATTTATAATTTCTTATTTCCATTAAAAAAAAATAGTGTAAAAATTAATTGTAGTGACAGTGATGTGCTTCAGCCACTTGTCTGAAAAACTTGTTGGTCTTGTCAGCTTAAGAAATATTAGTTCACACTGGAAATGTTAACTCTTCTTAAAGTATATAAAAAGAAACGCTCTTGGTAGTAGACGAAGACTAGTATGTAAGAGGATCCCTAGATTCAGGTGGACAGTATACCCTTTTTCAAACATTGTACAGAAAATGTTGCTATACACATTGTCATTCTAATATGGTGACTTAAGTATTATGTATTCAGTCTGGTGATGTATCCATATCTGTTCGAATTACTGGCTGCGGTTCACAAGAATGGCTACAGTGAAATGAGTTGATTTATTTTTGGCATTGAAGATACTCTGATATTTATCGGTAATTGTATAATTTTAGGTTATTGATTACCAATATGTATGATCTGTATTGATAGCCATCCCTCAATGTTTGGTCACATGAGCCACAACATTTGCATTTCCACAGCCTCAGTATACATGGTCAACAGTTATCCTGTGAATGTGTGAAGTTCAGTAACTTATATCTGGGTGGTTAGGTTGCCTACTGATTAGAGCATTCCAGGTGTCACCTGCTATAGGTTGCTGTTAGTATCTAAAACCATAGATACAGACGATATCTAAAACCATAGATATTCTATATTTCTTTTGTGTGAACTCATGTCTACAATTAGTTACTGTCTTTACAAGCATACTGCTCATGTCTTCATTTTTTCTAAGTTATATAATGCCCCACTTTTTCTTCTGTGAGATTGTGTGTTTTCTTGTGGAAGAATCAGTTTGAATTTATTTTGTTCTATAACACAGTATTACATCAGTGAGTGATATTCATTGTGTCATCTGGGACTTGCTGTCATCTAGAATTCTTTTAGCTTCGTACAGGCTTTTACCTGATGCAGGCGTATTACTATCAGGTATTTCATGTGTAATGACCCACATTATTCAACCCACTGCGTTACATTTGCAACTGAAGTTCGTTCAGAACTAGTGTCCCATGCTTAATCCTTGTGTGACATCCCATTGCATAATTTCCATGCACTTGACCAGGTCTCCATTCAACAAGCGCATCTTTTTACTGCGACAAACGTAACTCCAAATACGTAGAAATAGGCTTACAGAAGTTGAAGCCCTGTCCCTCCAAGGTACCTAGGTGCTACAACTAGCGTTAGTCAATGTTAAAGTATAGGTATCAGGGATTTACAGGACGCGAATTCCTGTGTCGTATCCGCATAAAAATTGACAATGGACACAACAAAGTTTATTAGCGCATCCACAGGGACCAGTAAAAGTCCAAATACTTTTTGGAAACATTCCAATCAACTAACAATAAGTTATCACTGCTTTTGCTACTAGCTGGGTTTGGTATCATTTGCAATTTAATTACTGTAACACTGTGATGATCATGATACCCAATACAATAACAGTATTAATAATAATATTTAAGTGTCTGGGACCCCCATTTTGTAGTCCAGGGCCTAGATTTTTGAAGCTCTATTAGCGCTAAGATAGTCGTTAGTTAATGTATGTTTCTTACGACTATCTTTGTGCTAAGAGAGCTTCGAATCTAGGCCCTGGACCCCTGAAAATTAAGAGTATGAGTCCCAGGGACCCTCAGATACAGGACTCAAGGTAAATCCCTGGGTATAACCGTCATCTTAGCATTAAGATTGCTTTGTTGAATGAGTCTCTGGTCTGTCGAGATGACAATTTCTTTAGGAATCCCGGGGCCATTGTACAAAACAACCTTAGCACTACGTCGTAAGTCTGTGTTAAGGTATGGGAGTTACGGTCACCTTAGCACTAAGATAGCTTTGTACAACAGCACCCATCTGCTTTATGAATATGTGATCATAAGATCATTGTTTTGATTGTTTAATTTATTTATTTGTTTTATTTTGTTTTTATTATTTATAGAAAAGCCTGTTCTGTTCATACTTGTTCATAAAATATTACTTAGGGTGAATAATCTGACAGAGTCACCCAAAGGATTTCGAACAGGCAATGCCCCTAATCCCCTTTGTTAGTTACAGTGTGTTACATGACTGATTGTAACGGTATCCTGACTACATGGATTATTGCTCCTGCAGTCAACCAGTGTCTATCCTAGCCCAGCTTTCAATATTTAAAGGCCACAATGACTAAACTGGAATATTTTGTAATTCACAGGGGTTTCAACATTTCACTCTAGAGAAGCCAAGTGGCATAAATTGAATACATACACATGCTTGTGCACACATTTTGTCAACACTTACCTCACATTACTATTGGCACATATCATTTTCAACTTAGGGATGACAAGACTTTATGGATGATCAACTTCTTTATTTTGACAATGGCGACGTTTCGGATAGATTCTTATTCCGTTTTCAAACATATGGACGATATAAGAATCTATACCGAAACGTCGCCATTGTCAAAATGAAGAAGTTGATCATCCATAAAGTCTTGTCATCCCTATGCCACCAACTTCTGTAATGCCACTCAAATCATTTTCATTTTTTGTTCAAAGTTTAAGACCGATTTACAAGCAGTTATTTATTCATTTTGTTTATTTTGTTACGATTATAGGAACAAAAGAAGAGTAACAATAGAGTAAGCCTAGTTTTGTTTCCACTTTGCATGTGGTAAACGCTGTTGCCCTTGATGCTCATTGTCGATCCGTTTTGTAACTGTAACAATCTGTGCCTTTGTTCAATGCATTTCTGTACACAAGGCATCTTAATACACTCCTCCACGTGTTGACTGTATGTTGATAATGTTTACAGAATGCTGCATTGCTGACTTGTATATGATCTTTATTAATGGAGACAGTTTGAGGCTAACTAACTACCTCAGTAGGTTGTGTGTTTGTCCTTGATTGTGGCATGACTACACCAACATTGATAGGTCTTTGTTCATGTACGTTTGCAATGGTAATTGAAGTGATGAAAAGATTTGAATTTCAGTTTCAGTTTCACATTTCTTTGTCATGTGTGAACTCTTTAGTAGATGCATAATGAATTAAACATTTGACATGTTATTAATAATTTATAATCTTACTCTTTTTTTAAAAAATCTGTTGTTTTGAGGGGGGAGAGCATTGGTTTATTTTTCAGAAGTTTCACTATTATGTCATTAAAACTGAATAAGATCATTTAGTCTTGATTAATTGTTAAGTTAAAGTTTGCATCTGGGGGATATTTCGTTTTTGCAAATTGACCTGAATTGAATATTTTGTTTTTCGGACATTGGCTTTTGTTGGAGACTGTTTATGAATATTTCCTTAATATTCCTGTAATATTATGGAAATATTTATGAATATTGCATCAGGTTTGAATGTTTTATGAATTTTTTGATTTTTTTTAGTTTGAGAAAGTAAGAACTTTTTTTAAATACCAAATCTGAACAAATTTGAATTCTTTTCTGATATACCTGCCAAGGGTACTTACATAGGACTACAAGATGAGTCCCTTTATGGAACTCCAAAACTTATAGGTAATGTAAGCTGTTAGTTATTTCAATAAGGTTGGATGGACAATATAATCCCTGTTACAAAGTACCACAGAACATCTATTTTACGATTGATCTGCAGCGTCCAATGCTTATCAGAAGAGGTACCTAACAGCATCTTGTTAAACTCACCGACTTGGTTGATGCAAGTCATTGTATCCCTACTGCTGAGATCAGCACTCATGAGGTCAGTCAGTGGATTTTCTGGTCCAAAGTCAAATGACATGTAAACAAAGCAAACTGACATCAGAGGTTTAAGTTCTCCATTGCATTAGCTTCAAATGTAGGTTCTACAATTCCAGTGACTTCATTTCAAGTTTTACTGAAGTGTTCCACTGTTTGACTTAATAATGTAGTTGAGAAGAACAGGATAATAGATTATGAATGTTTCACAATTCTGACAGCATGACTTTGATTCTATTGATGATGTGTCAAGATCTGACGTTACTAATACAATGGTCTGAAACCTCTCTAACTCAGGTTTGTTACTTAAGCATGGTGTGTGCCGTGGCATCCATGTCCTGACATCTGTCCTTCACTGAATGCACGACATAAACAGGGCTGGTGTATGTGTATGACGGTGCAGTCCTGACATCAGTATCACCCACTCTCCTCCCATATCACACCCACTCTCCTCTAGACCACACTCACTCTCCTCCCAGATCACTCCCACTCTCCTCCCAGATCACTCCCACTCTCCTCTAGACCACACCCACTCTCCTCCCAGATCACACCCACTCTCCTCCCAGATAACACCCACTCTCCTCTAGATCACACCCAGTCTCCTCTAGATCACACCCACTCTCCTCCCAGATCACACCCACTCTCCTTCCAGATCACACCCTCTCCTCTAGACCATGCCCACTCTCCTTCCAGATCACACCCACTCTCCTCTAGATCACACCAACTCTCCTCTAGACCACACCTACTCTCCTTCCAGATCACACCCTCTCCTCTAGACCACACCCACTCTCCTCTAGACCACTCCCGCTCTCCTCTAGACCACACCCACTCTCCTCTAGACCACTCCCGCTCTCCTCTAGACCACACCCACTCTCCTTCCAGATCACACCCTCTCCTCTAGACCACACCCACTCTCCTCTAGACCACACCTACTCTCCTTCCAGATCACACCCTCTCCTCTAGACCACACCCACTCTCCTTCCAGATCACCCACTCTCCTCTAGACCACACCCACTCTCCTTCCAGATCACACCCTCTCCTGTAAATCACACCCATTCTCTTCCAGCCACCCACTCTCCTCTAGACCTCACCCACTCTCCTCCCAGATCCACACCCACTCTCCTCTAGATCACACCCACTCTCCTCTAGATCACACCCACTCTCCTCCCAGATCACACCCACTCTCCTTCCAGATCACACCCTCTCTCCTCTAGACCACACCCACTCTCCTCCCAGATCACACCCACTCTCCTCCAGATCACACCCTCTCTCCTCTCTAGACCACCCACTCTCCTTCCAGATCACACCCTCTCCTCTAGACCACACCCACTCTCCTCCTAGACCACACCCTACTCCCTTCCAGACCACACCCTCTCCTCTAGACCACACCCTACTCTCCTTCCAGATCACACCCTCTCCTCTAGACCCACCCTCTAGACCACACCCACTCTCCTTCCAGATCACACCCTCTCCTCTAGACCACACCCACTCTCCTTCCAGATCACACCCTCTCCTCTAAATCACACCCATTCTCCTCTGAGCCACAGCCACTCTCCTCTAGACCACACCCACTCTCCTCACAGACCACACCTACTCTCCTCTAGACCACACCCACTCTCCTCTCAGATCACACCCACTCTCCTCTAGACCACACCCACTCTCCTCTCAGACCACACCCACTTTCTACCCCATGCCATGCCCACTTTCTACCCCATGCCATGCCCACTTTCTACCCCATGCCATGCCCACTTTCTACCCCATGCCATGCCCACTTTCTACCCCATGCCATGCCCACTCTCGTCTAGACTAAACCATTACCATCCAGGTGTGCCCACAAAACAAAACCTTATTAGTGAGATGAACATTAAGATTGTGACAAATCTACTATGAGGCAAATGGGATGTTTCATGAGTTTATGGGAACAATTATTATTATCTTACCTCACACATGAATGTCGTTTTCTGATTGGCTGAGCACTCTTCTATTATTTTCAATGTACCCCGCTTACAAGCGAGTAACATTTTCTATGTTACCCGCTGGGAATGCCGAACTGTGGGAATTCATTTGGTTCTTCGTGTTAGTAATTCTTTATCTCAAATGATTGAGTCATGTACGATGTACAGAAATTACTGATGTTTTGCAAATGCAAATCAGTGGAAGGGAGGTAACTCTAAATTGTTTTTCTTGTCGTCTGGTATGGCTAATTGCCTAACTCTGGTACTCCGTATTATGATCCGATGCCCGTGCTTCAAACAGTTCAAAATTAACATTAGGGTGTTCGGTAAGATAAATAGGATGCTTCAGGCGAAGGGATCGTAAACAAACATCAGGGCTCCAGATAAAGGACGTATGTACGGATAAAACATATGCACGATACGGTAGGAAATAATTTAGAGAGCGTAGCAGATACGTACCACATCAATGGTGTACGGTCTTAGAATCATTTACAGGCGTATTTATCTGAAAAAAGTATTGTTTTATTGTTTATTGACCTGTTTACACAAGAGTAGCATTATTGTGGTGCATATATGAAACGAAACACAAGATTACTGATATTCCATTAATTTCCATTCAGTACTCTAAATGTATACATAAGGTTTTCCAATACTCCTATATTGAACAAATAAGGAGTACGTACTCCTGATGTTGAAAAATTATCTGGAGCCCTGAACATAGAGGGTACATCAACCCATGGGCCCCGAGCTACGAGTGAACAATTTATAATATTATTCATGAAAATTGTCTGTATGCTATCAAGGAATTATATATCAAACATGTCATGTAATTGCTCAGGCTTAATCATTTATATATTCTTTGTAAAGCAAAAAGGCAAAACATTACAATGACACGACCTAATGACAGTATCGTAAGACAAGTTATGCTACAGCAAGGCCTGCTCTTGCAAGGGAAATGTAAAATGGATAAAAAGTCACAGGTCTGTTTCAAAAGACCTCAGACCAGTTGAAAAGCCATAATCTTTGAATGGTTAATTAAGAGCAGAAGGATCTTGACCAAGGTCTCTTGGAAATGACAGTTTTGAACGTTTTATACTTCACCTTCCAAACAAGATGCATGGTTGTGTTAAAAGTAGTTAGCACATGAGAACATTTCATGATGGTTTCTTGCTAACCAGTTAACACCACTGTAACATTAATAGAAATGAGATCTTGTCATTACAGAGTGAAGCTTTGCCTGAATGAATGTGAACAACTTCAATATTTAGACTCAGCATGTACGTTATCTACAGTTGTTCTTTGGCGTAAGGCTGAATGTTTGGACAGGGTAGCCATGTGGATTTAGGCAGAGATTGTGCTCTGCGGAGTTGCATCCCTTTGTCACACCAGGATCCACCGATCCTAAATATGAATCCCACACTTCCCACATTAAGCTGACGCTCTGTGACATTTGTGTTAACTGAAATACTGTTGAAAGCATCTTTGACCCCAACATTATCTCACATACACATGGGGCGTGGGGTAGTCGAGTGGTTAAGGTGTTCGCTCATCACCCCAAAGACCCAGGTTCGATTCCCCACATGGGCACATTGTGTGAAGCCCATTTCTGGTGTCCCGCGCCGTGATATTGCTGGAATATTGCTAAAAGCGGCATCAAACTAAACTCACTCACACTCACTCACTCACTCACTCACTCACTCACTCACTCACTCACTCACTCACTCACACACACACACACACACACACACACACACACACACACACACACACACACACACACACACACACACACACACACACACACACATGCCCGTGTGGCGTGGAGTTCAGCACCATATAAGTGGCCTTGTAATAACTCTCCACAATGAAATGAGGTGCTTTCCTGGATATCTGTAACAAAACTCCCAGCTGTTTCATTAGAGAAGGCCTGGGTTTAGCACCTTAGAAGTGGCCTTATAAATGTTATTATAGTATTTCAAGTGAATATCATCAGTCTTCACTTCAACTGCTTTGCGTGTGACCTCCCTGAAATCAAATCAAATTTAATTATTTACAGTGGCTTTTTAAGAATGTATGCATGCCATTTGCATATGTTCTTTCCTGGAATGTGAAAAAGTGTTTCTATGAAGATTTCCGACTCAGGAATATAAGTCTGTTATGCAGGGCCGTTGACTGATTTGGGTAATGTCTAATATTTGCTGATGTAGGGCCGTTGACTGATTTGGGTAATGTCTAATATTTGCTGATGTAGGGCCGTTGACTGATTTGGGTAATGTCTAATATTTGCTGATGTAGGGCCGTTGACTGATTTGGGTAATGTCTAATATTTGCTCATGTTTTTAATTTTGATTTTTCATTTTCTGTTTGATACTTTCGAGCAATGTCATTTTTTTGTGAACATGTACAGTCTAACGAGCACAAAGAGTTTTCTTTGAAAATGACGATGTTGTTTTTTCCTTTCATTCAAACATAGGTAATCATTAAACCACCTGCTGGAGGAAAGAAGGTAGATGATTTGTTCCATGAACTATGAACACACCTAACTGCAACTAACACACCTCTTCCCAGTCATTTGTAGTTTTAATATTCTTGTAGAGATTGTGTGATATCAAAAACAGTTGATCCCGTTCATTTAAGAAGGAAGCTGGTGTTTCTGTTACTGTTTTTTATATTTTGTATTGTATTCTTTTTAAATAATAATTCGAATGAGACCCATCAGATCTATGTTTCTTTTTTGAATTTGTATTCTGTTTTCTTTTCTTTTTGGGTTGTTAAATTAAGCTCTGTTCAGATCCCATTTTTCTTAAATTTGGTTTGTTCATGTATTGTATTTATATTTGGCTCTTAAGTTTCATTCTCAATGATCTAGCGTTACATATCCCGAATTCTATTTTGGTAAATATCCTGGGCCTAGATTTTCAAAGCTCTCTTAGCCCTAAGACAGTTGTAAGTTAATGTTAATGTATGGGACTTACTACTATCTTAGAGCTACGAGAGCTTCGAAAATCTAGGCCCTGGACCATCGGTTGCAGTTGTTTTGAATTTGACATCACCATCTCGCTCCAGCTTATCACCAACTTAAAACTTTTTAACTAAATCAAAAATATTGAGCAATATTTTAACTGATTTAACACTGTGTCATTTGAATTTGGTCCAAAAGGAGCTATGGTGGTGAATGGTTTTAGCATACTTTACCATAATAGAATGGATTTGTACACAAGATCATTGAGAATGATAAAATTTCTCAAATACTTGCCTTTGAAACTTAACATAGTGTTTCTTGCCACCTGAAAATACATATTTTAAGCTTATGCATGAGATTAGTACAAATATTTCAATACAGTCATTGCTTACTCACATGATCTGATCGTACAGACCCGGCATAGCAATAATCCTTGGTAGACCTGACAGTTGCATACCATTTTCTCCGCTTCTGCATTAGAGCTTATAGAACATGAATATCATTTTTGTAAGTTTAAATTCATCTGCAGTAATATTGGCTCAGTTGCCTTGTCATGTAACTGAATGTGCAGATGGTATTTCTGAAGGCAACATAAGAAGTAATGTCAACTCAGGTTTATTTATCTTCTCACCCCCTGAAAAATGTGTGTGGGTTCTATTTCAGACCATCCAACTGCTACTCTCATCAACAGTGAAATGCAACATAAATATATTAATGGCATAAAGTATGCACAATGTTATAATGTGATAAATGTTCAGGAGCAACTCAAGGAAAATGAGAGAAAAGTTTAGATTGTGGGTGCTGGAATAATGGTTGGTAGGAAACTGGAAACACACATGTTTGGAAAGGGGTGCTTACGTGAAGGCTACTTTACTATAAAGTGGGGTTTCATTCAAACACTTCTGTCATGTAGTTGTGTTTTAATATTTCATGGCTGAACCTCTGTAGAAATGCCACTAAGCAAGCAAAGTGATTGCATTCTTTAGCCCGAATTAACCCAGCACTTCATCTCATACTAGCACCTGTTTTCGTTTTGGATGACACTTAAACTTGCTGTTTCTGTTTTCCAGACTCACAACCCAGGCTTGCTGAACTTATCGGATGGGGGGCGGAAAGCAACAGCCGATCCCTGGGGGGTGCCTCTACATCAGAAACAGGAGCCAACGGATCCCTGGGGAGGCCCACTGCCTGGCCCAGGGGCACCCAAAATACACGCTGCCTCACCCGTACCAGCTGACCAATGGGCATCACCTGCAGGGTCCCGGCCATCTCAACCGACTCCTCCCATTCACAATATTGACCCCTGGGGAGCACCAACCGTGAGCCCAGCCAGATCTACACCTCAGTCAGGGTCCACTCCTGGTAGGTGGAAGTGTGTGTGGTTAGGATTATTGGCAGCAGCATACACAACATTAGCACAGGCATCACCTTGGCTGAAACTACTCTTACTGCAGTGTTCAAATGGTGTTTCAAAGTAACAGGACATTGCGTCCTGTAAGTTTCAGAGGTCTGTCTGACCCACTGAAAATTCACAGGACCCATAGAATAAAAATTGAACACACATTTCAGATTTAACACTTCTTATAAGTGGCATTGAAATTATTAACAAACGTAAAATTTGTAAACAACAAACAAGTGTGATGTATCACATACGACAACTTCAGTCAAAGTCATTGTGAAATATACAGTCGGACACTGGGGCCGGCTGGTGGTAGACTTCCACCGGACCACCGGCGAATCTGCCGGATTTGTCAGAGGGTCAGGCGCTATTCGTGAACACTGTTACTGCTTGTGGTGACGTTGGGGTAGCATAGTGGTGACGTTGGGGTAGCATAGTGGTTGAAGTGTTTGCTCATCATACCGAAGTCCTGGATTTGATTCTCCACATGGGTACCGGGTACATAGTGTGAAGCCTATTTCTGGTGTCCTTTGCTATGCCATTGCATGAATATTGCTAAAAGCAACGTAAAACCCAACTCACTCACTCAATGTAACTGCTTGTTTAGTCATACCTTTGTCAGTACTACACCACTTTCTTCCATCTCTCATGAACAGACAGGGCTGATTTACAATGCAAATGGTTCCAGTGGTATCATAGCAACAACAGATTCCTTGCCTGCCAACACCATTATTCTTCAGATAATGTTCACATCAAGTCATTAAATACCCACGACCTGCCTCCTTTTCACTTTCACATAAGGCTGACCTTGTATAGACCTGTTGGTCACTCTTGCTGAAAATTTTAATCCCCATCAACTGTTACTTAACCAATACCAGGTTGTGTTCCACTGTCCCATTTCTTATGTGGCCCATTTCCGTGAAATTGCTGGAATATTGCTAAAAGTGGCATAAAACTAAACCCACTCACTAACTCTTGTTCCACTGTTTGATCAGAGCAAGATTGCTCGCTGTGTAGAACAGGCAAACTGTAGATTCCAAGTCTTTTTGTTCCTATTTAATATTGAATATATTAGATTGCAACTATTACGATTGACAATTTCATTACAATTTCCTGAACAGACCATAGCTCTGTGCAGCAACAAGTCAATATTGAAATCATTTATTGGGATCAGATCTCAGCTACTTCACAGACTATACAACCCATGAAGGTCCTGGTTAGAATGAGCCTTCAGTAACCCATGCTTGTCGTGAGAGGCGACTAACGGGATCAGGTGGTCAGGCTCGCTGACTTGGTTGACACATGTCATCGGTTCCCAATTACGCAGATTGATGCTCATGCTGTTGATCACTGGATTGTCTGGTCCAGACTCAATTATTTACAGATTGCCGCCATAAAGCTGGAATATTGCTGAGTGAAGCGTAAAACTAAACTCACTCACTCACTCACTCACTCACTCACTCACTCACTCACTCACTCACTCACTCACTCACTCACTCACTCACTCACTCACTCACTCACTCACTCACTCAGACTATTCCTGTCTTTATTGCTGCACTAATAACATTAGGTATCATCACTGAGCTAATCCAGATGGGAACACCCACTGGTTAATCCATCTGTATTGACTATAGGACAGCAGGCCTGCTGACAGTTTGGAGACTGAGATTCTGCTTACTGATGACTCAGCAGTCTGGATATTTCCTTGTCATCCTGATAAGTACTTTCAGAGGAATACATATTGATGGTCATAATTATTTTTGAAAATTTTCTTGATTATTTCTGAAGTGTGTTTGTACACAGTTGTGTAGTTGTATTGTGAGGAGGACGATGTTGAGTTTGTATGGTGAGAAGTCATGCCTGTTGGCGTTTGAGGAGGAACCAGAGGAGGATCTGGATGAGGACAATGTCACCCTTCCGTTCACTGTGTATGCCATGTGTAACCTGCCTGTCGTTGCAGTCTTAGGTATTGTGTGTGATTTATATTCTGGGTTGCTGGATTGTTTAGATTAAGGTATTTATACTCTGGGTAGCTGGATTGTTTAGATTAAGGTATTTATATCTGGGTTGCTGGATTGTTTAGATTAAGGTATTTATATTCTGGGTTGCTGGATTGTTTAGATTAAGGTATTTATATTCTGGGTTGCTGGATTGTTTAGATTAAGGTATTTATATTCTGGGTAGCTGGATTGTTTAGATTAAGGTATTTATATTCTGGGTTGCTGGATTGTTTAGATTAAGGTATTTATATTCTGGGTAGCTGGATTGTTTAGATTAAGGTATTTATATTCTGGGTAGCTGGATTGTTTAGATTAAGGTATTTATATTCTGGGTAGCTGGATTGTTTAGATTAAGGTATTTATATTCTGGGTTGCTGGATTGTTTAGATTAAGGTATTTATATTCTGGGTAGCTGGATTGTTTAGATTAAGGTATTTATATTCTGGGTTGCTGGATTGTTTAGATTATAGGTATTTGTTTAGATTATATTCTGGGTTGCTGGATTGTTTAGATTAAGGTATTTATATTCTGGGTTGCTGGATTGTTTAGATTAAGGTATTTATATTCTGGGTTGCTGGATTGTTTAGATTAAGGTATTTATATTCTGGGTTGCTGGATTGTTTAGATTAAGGTATTTATATTCTGGGTAGCTGGATTGTTTAGATTAAGGTATTTATATTCTGGGTGGATGCTGGATTGTTTAGATTAAGGTATTTATATTCTGGGTTGCTGGATTGTTTAGATTAAGGTATTTATATTCTGGGTTGCTGGATTGTTTAGATTAAGGTATTTATATTCTGGGTTGCTGGATTGTTTAGATTAAGGTATTTATATTCTGGGTTGCTGGATTGTTTAGATTAATTGGTATTTATATTCTGGGTTGCTGGATTGTTTAGATTAAGGTATTTATATTCTGGGTTGCTGGATTGTTTAGATTAAGGGTTGTATTTATATTCTGGGTTGCTGGATTGTTTAGATTAAGGTATTTATATTCTGGGTTGCTGGATTGTTTAGATTAAGGTATTTATATTCTGGGTTGCTGGATTGTTTAGATTAAGGTATTTATATTCTGGGTAGCTGGATTGTTTAGATTAAGGTATTTATATTCTGGGTAGCTGGATTGTTTAGATTTATATTCTGGGTAGCTGGATTGTTTTAGATTAAGGATTGTTTGGGTAGATTAAAGGTATTTATATTCTGGGTAGCTGGATTGTTTAGATTAAGGTATTTATATTCTGGGTTGCTGGATTGTTTAGATTAAGGTATTTATATTCTGGGTTGCTGGATTGTTTAGATTAAGGTATTTATATTCTGGGTTGCTGGATTGTTTAGATTAAGGTATTTATATTCTGGGTTGCTGGATTGTTTAGATTAAGGTATTTATATTCTGGGTGGATTGTTTAGATGGATTGTTTAGATTAAGGTATTTATATTCTGGGTTGCTGGATTGTTTAGATTAAGGTATTTATTGCTGAGTTTAGATTAAGGTATTTATTCCGAGTGAGTGAGTGAGTGAGTGAGTAACTTAGTTACTTAGTTGCTTGCTTAGTTAGTTACTTCCTTACTTAGTCTGGATTTACACCGCTTTTAGCAATATTCCATAAACGGGCTTCACAAGACAATTGTAGACTGCTTTTATTGAAGTAGCCTTCAAGTACAGGAATGATTATCAGTTAGCTATAAGATGACATTGTGGACATATGAAGTCTGGTTGATATTTCATTGTTTTGAGTCAAAGTGTTTGTCAAATTCAACATTGTTCAGAATGTTATTGATTTCAAGGAACCCTGAGTTGGATATGGCACTGCATCTGTTCTTTTAGTGACATAATCAATGAGGAGTTGTGAGTAGGGCTATGCCAAGGAACCAGTTACCTTCATGTGTGTTGATTTTAGAATATGGCACCTTACCTTATTCATGGGAATTTCAAACATCTTATGAAATTTTTATTCTTCAATGTGCTTTATTTACCACTGTTTAAATTATACTCAGTAGTTTGTGGCTTTTCTAGTGGTCACAAAAGGTCCGCATTACATGTATTTTTGTCAACTTGCATTAACACTGCCTTCCTGTTTAATTTCAAGCACTGTAGATGGTCCTATTGTAGGTCTATGGTTGGAAGGTGGAAGCAAAACATCAAATATAAGCAATATTTGGATATTATCAGTTAAAAACATTGCAGCAGTATTTCTAGAGTATGCTATTACAGGCACAAAGATCAAAAGGAACAAAATAGATCTTTTGTACTAACCATGCTAACTACGGAAATGGATTGTCATAATTGCTGATTCTTGCAGATTAAGACAGGACTGTTGCAAGTGATTTCTTTAGTGAAATGTGAATCCTTGATTTCAGGATCTCAACCAGATGCCTGGGGAGTAAGCCCTGGCCCACAGAGCTCGCCCTGGGGGTCCCCAGCCCCACCCCAGCAAACCGCTAGTATGGATCCCTTTGGGTCTCCAGCAGCACCAATAACCACCACTAATGGCACCAACAATATCGATGAAGCATTTGACCTGCTGAGCTCTCGGAGCACCGAAGGATCACCGGCCAAATCAGCTGGTTCTTCTGCAGCTCAGGCCTTTGACCCATTAGGTTGGTGATCTTTGTAACATTGCAGGGTTAGACCACGAGGCTGTTAGTTTGAGACAAGTGAATATCCACAGTTGTATTTCACCAATTATCTTAGATATACCTCTCTTTTTAGAATGAGCTGTGAGCTGTGATGGATGAGATCAGTTGTCTACCACACTTATGTACAATTGACTCCTTATTTGATAAGGGACAGAGTAAAAAAAATAAGGGATAGAGTCAAAAAGGGATGGACAGAAATGGGTACATGCAGTAGCAATGATGACTTAAATGTTATTCCTCCACAACTTTTTTCACAAGTGGATTCCAAGACAGAACTGGCGCCACATAGCCAATGCTAGTCATAATTACCAAGTTGAATATTTTTATTTTTTTTTTTTTTTTTTTTTTTTTTTTTGATTAGCATAGGGACAGATGTTACATATCCGATGCATAAGTACATATATATAGCAAGATGTTACACTGCTACTATGTGAATACAAATATATCCATTTCACATAGAGATGAAGATATTATCCACGGATGTGAAAGTAACATCCTCGGAAATGTACAGCATTTGCTTTACATACTATATTGAAAAATTAGGGCAAATATAGGATAAGTGCTAGAAGTGAAAGTATGGAAGTAGGGAGAGAAAGACAGGAGAGGGGGAAAGAGTAGATGGGATAGTTGAAGATTTTATTGAATGGCTTTGTGGATTATTGTAGTACTACATTGGCATGTATAGATGCTTATCAACCTATGGTGTTCTTGGCCTTCCATGTCCATGGTGTATGATTGTCATCAGAGCTGACGAAAGAGACTGTGACTGTGTTGATAGCATGTCACAGTGCCTGAAATCTGTCATTGTCAGCTTCTTGGATTTCAGTGAACCACTGGTTGGTCTGATCCTTAGACAATGATGTTAGGCATATACTACTCAATTTATGATGGGGCGGTGGGGTAGCCTAGTGGCTAAGACGTTCGCTCGTCTCGTCGAAGACCCGGGTTCGATTCCCCACATGGGTACAATGTGTGAAGCCCATTTCTGGTGTCCCCTGCCATGATATTGCTGGAATATTGCTAAAAGCGGCATAAAACCCAACTCACTCACTCACTCACTCACTCACTCAATTTATGATAGGGAAAGTGAGACATAGAAAGCCAGTACCACCTTACATTATATGTAAAGTTCCATGTGATTGGATGTTAGGAAGTCTCTTAGCAAAAACTGTACAGTATGTATATGATCTGCAATATGAATGTTCAGTTGTATGCATTTGTCAAATGTTTTGTGCACTCTCCCTCCTCTTCCTACCTCTCTTTCACTGCCAATGTATCACTGCAATCCCACGTGTGGAAGTGTGTGAGGATTAGGGCTGTAACGAATACACTATGTTGCGAATATGATACGTATCACGAATATTTGGTAACGAATACGAATAATTATTCACGAATACAATATTGCAGTTAAGTGACTGATGCACAATATTGAATGCCCATGTTGACAGTGTTAATTTGTCACAGCAATAACCAGTCATCTCATGACACTCAAATTCGGTATGTAATAGTTAAGTTGACAGTACCATGCGTGGCCTTGACAAACTAACATGACTTGCGCTACTACAAGGCTAGTACATAATGCATTCTTGCATATTTCATTTTGAAAAAGGACATATGGGTTCAAGTGAAACACACACCCTTAAAAATTGTAAATATTTATGAATATTCGGTATGGTGACCACGAATAACGAATTGAATTCATGAAGGGCTACGGTTCGATTCACCGAATATGCGAGTGAATCGTTACAGCCTTAGTGAGGGTATGTTTGCTACATGCTGGTCATGTTTCTCTTGCTCACAGTGGACTCCAGTGCAAGCGATGGTGCATGGAACATGGGAATCCTTAACCAGAATCTACCACAAGAAAAGAAAAAATCTGCTCATGATTTTCTTGGCCAGCATACTGGGCTAGTTAATTTAGATGAACTTGTATCGAAGCCTGCACCCAAAGGTTAATGTCTTTTATCATTCACAGTGCGGAGATCCACTTCCAGTCTGTATTAACTATCTCAGTTTACATTTGATTTGTATAATATGACAAGATTGACAAATTCACAATCAATAATTAAATGATAAGGAATACCTATAGAGGAATTCAGTATTTATTGGATGAAAACATGAATTCATAAAAATAAGATGGTTCCTTGTGAGATTAATTTGTTTCTGTAAAAACATTTTGTTCTTTTCTTACTATTTTACATACGTAATTATTTTGGTTTGAAAATACATGGGTTAACTTTGAAGTTTGAAGAACTGAGTGGATGATGTAAAGACGGTGTGATGACGAAACTCCCTTGCTTTCCCTTACAGGTAATAACCCATTTGCTGCACCATCAGCCAGTAACCCATTTGAACAGCCCGTCACACGAGTACCCATGAACCAACTACAGAACACGGCACCTGGTTTCACACAGCCTGTTAATTCTGGACTCCTGCCCTCCCCTCTCATTCCAGTGAACACAGCCCACCAGCCCATGCAGCCACAACAACAAAGTTACAACCCCTTCTTATGAGGAACGGTCCACTCTCAGCGGATGGGAGGCTAAGATATCAAAGTTACGTGTTGCTCCAGTATTCAAGAGGTCTGGAGCTCGGCAGATCTGAATGTATATTTCTTGAACAAAAAATTGTACATTTATGTTTTAAGGTATATAAGGTGTGACCCCTGTGTCTGATCAGTGTCTAACATTTATCAATATAACCGGGGAGATATGCCTGTGTTGGGTAGACCTAGCAGACTTGCTGCATGAAGATCTCGAAACAATACACAGGAAAAACTTCACCCCTCCAATTTCTTCGTCTATAATTTATACCAGTGATATTAGGATAGCATTGACTGTATTCTGTACTAGTTAGTTTGACCCTCAGCTTCATTCGTCGCCCTTGTTTCTACAGGCAGTTTGCTTTTGTGTGAAAACAACTCTGCAGTTTAAGTGTAAAAAATACATCATAAAATCAACAATAATCCCTTCATTGTTCTTAATCCCCCATACTGACCGCTCTTTTGATATTTATGTATATTGTGTATGCAAATTTCACTTCATTAAGTTGTGCACAGTTTGTCTTTTCAGACTTGCTATATATAATTTTCATTTGAATATTTTGTAAGAGGAAATGCTTGTCGAAGTTATTGCTTACACCATACACCTGTGTTATGGCAATACTATTTACGTTAATAATAGCATAAGAACAGAATCGGTTGTTCTATCAAGCATGCGATAATCACTAATGTTCTATATATTTGTTACAGTCTGCATTCAAGGAACCCTATAACCATGACCATGTTTGATGCATCGTCTACAATATGTAGATATTTCATATCAAAATTAGTACCGGGGTATTAGAAAAAATACAGGAGTGTTACTCAATGTCTATCAGTGAATGAAGAGAACAGATTTGTTTGATATACCTGACAGCTTTCATTGTACTGGGATGAGTGAAGAATGAGTGAGTGGGTGAGTGAGTGAATGAATGAATCAGGTTACTGATGGAAACCAAGTTTGATTTGGTCACAAATACCAAGGCAAGGTGTATGTGTATTGTACAACTATGTAACAATACGGTCTTTCAAGGGAATGCCTAGCTTTCGCCTATGTGGTAGAGTAAGAGCTGGATGTTCTATAAGAATATTTTTGTAGGTGGTACTGATACAATTTGCTGCAGATAATCTATAAGAACAGCATCGCTGTGGTGCGTACAATCAATATGTATTAGCCAAAGGGATGTAACAGTTGTTTCGTAAGATTACCATGATTATTTTTGTAGTTGCATTTAATAATTGTCATCCAATTTACACACGAGAAGGCGCGTTGAAAATATGTCTAAGTATAAGGGGTAAATATAATCAGAAGCGATTTCAAATACACAAGAACTGCATCTTATGTTCGAATTAAGTTTTGACCAAATATATTGGTAACATGCTACAAAATTTAACTAGTACAGGTCAGTATGCTTATGTGCTTGAGTATGATATGTAAGCATGGATTGACAGCAATATGTGTTAAGTCAGTATTGATCCTGGTTCTGCTTGAATGGCTGGGATTCCCTGATGTTGCATGAAGCAATATTGACAGCTTGCCTGGCATTATGTCTTGTGTCGAGTAATTGCATGGAGCTGTTGTCCAAACACGTTGGCTGTTATTGCACAAGACAGAGGCCTTATCTTCTTCATCTTCTTGCAGATGTTGAGCATGCTATTTATTCAGTTTCGTCTATATGTGTATTCATAAACTGTGTGATGGTTATTACACTAGGAGTTGATGTGTAATTCAAATGAACAGCTGCATAGTCATTTCAGGAGAGTCTCTGGGTTGGACTGTCCCGTGAGAGGAAACATCTAGTCCTTGTATTTCGCTCATCTCAGGACTTTTTTCTCGGCTATCCATCCGTAACACTATCTGGCTGAACGAAGGGGCTAAATGTGGAATAAGAATTACCATTTTCAGACTACAGCATGTAGAAATAGTGCTTCTCTATTTATTTATGACTGTATGTTTGGTTGGTATCGTAGGTGTTATGTTAACCAGGAATATTGTATAGTCCTTTCACTACGTTCCGATCTTTCAGCACCACATAAAACTAGTTTTTGCACAGACAGGTGATGTTTGTCTTGAATCATCCAGTTCAGTTCTTGTGAATGTTGTCTTTTGTTTTGGAGATTCTGTCTGGCTATGCAGCTTATGGCATTACTGAGATTCTCAGACAATATTTGTTTTGGCAGCACGTTTTGTATTATAAACAGAATGAAAGGATCTGAAAGATCAGCGAAAATGACATTAATAGATTTGTATGATAACTATGATTATATTTTCTGTAAAATAATCATCATTATAAAGGACTTTTGTAATTTGAGAGAATGGCCACAACCAATCAAATCTTAAACTTCTTATTTTGATTTGAAAGTATATGTAACAGGTTTGTTTTGAAGACGATCAAGTACTTCTGGACATTAAGTTTCTGTGAAGTCCCATGGAGTCCTTTCTGGTTCCATATATACATGAATATATTGGTCTCAAAGTTCAAATCAACATGATTCTCATGGCTAGCCTGCCTGGGTAGATGATCCATGGAAATGTAACCAAACTCAATTTCTTGAACTGTGACCTTGTTTTTTGCATACCTGAACACAGCATTCAGATCATGCTTCTGGTTGTCTTTCCCCACTTTTCCTCTTCTTTCCTGGGTCAGTACAAAGGTATTGATTAGTTGTGGCTTGAGGAATAGTTACCATGAATATAAGCATTCATACAGGTCCATGTGTACTCGAGCATGGGCCAGGTTTATATGAACTCGAGGTTAAGAGTGCTGTACCAAGGGAGACAACTCACGTCTCAAACATGCATGTTGCAGACCATGAACAGAAACAGTACAATGTCAGGATCTGTTTTGACCTAGATGATGCAGAAAAGAAAAGGCAAAATGTTGATTGTGTGGCATGCTCTTGAAATTTTGTACTCAAGTTTGAGTCAGATTTTAAAACATGGCACTTAACTGCATTTTTGTGAAAGGTTGCTCCCTGTTGGAGGGCTAATGAGCAGGCATTTAGTGTGATATGTACTCTTCAGTGTTTAACCCTGTTTAATCCATGATCTACTGTTGAACATCAGGCAACACCAGGTGAATATGCTCACCGCCCACTGCCAGTTTCTGTTACGTTGTGTCTGCTCCTCAGTTGCTAAACTCACCATAGTCTTTCATACTGTATCAGACAAGGCAAGGCTTCTCACTGTCAGCTCAGCCACGTTTAATCACCCCTGAGAAAAAACAAGCATTTCAAAATTCCTGTACATTTTTATTAAAACATTTTATCAGCAGAGTTAATAAGATATGACAAAATCATAGGATTTCACTGTACTGGCCTGTTAATATCCCAATTCCAGGGCAAGATGTGTTTGTTGTAATGAAAAAGTTTGGGTCCCGCCATCGATGTATTCTGGCTGAAAATTTCAAGAAATGTCACTTAATTTCTCACTTTGTTTTGCAAGGAATATGTACTGTTTTGATAGTTTTGTTCTATCAATTGTACTTGTTCAGAAAAGAAATATTTTTGGGATTTTTGCATGAGAATTAGTTTGACAGACAATTTAATTTATTTCATTTTCTTTTGAAATGTGTTGATTTTGAATCTTTTGAATGTAAACCTTTTTGTCACTGAACTGCATATGTTTTTATTTTACATTTTAAAATATATTGCCAAGTTAACTTACATATACTGGAGTTAGATGGGATGCCTGCATTCTTTTACACAGATTATACCAACTTGAAATTAAAGCAACTTTTAAAATTTGAAAGAATAGTTATGGTTTTGGTGAACTGCTGTAGATTTTTGTCTTTAACTATTGTTATGTAAGGTGGATTTGTGGTTTGTTCATCAATATTTGTCTGTTTTTCCTTTGATAATGCAGTATGCTGTCATGAGCTCTTTGGCAAGTGGTAAGCTTGTGGAAAACGTGTTTATTTTCATGTTCAGTCAACTCTGGATATGACTTGTAAAAATTATGCGAACTGTTTATAACTGTTTTTAGATTGATAATAACATTTATTTGTTGTTATAAATTTCATAATTTAGCGACTGAAACAATTTTAGTGTCTTTATAAACAATAGTTGTGAGTCAAGTTGTGAGACTTTCAGTGTTTTCAAGGGCACGATTCAATAAAGCTGGCTGACGACTATCACAAGTTCCGATTCAAATATAAGGTGAACATCAGGGCTAAGATCACTTAATGGAGATCTGATGTTAATGATTCAATCTTTATGCAGCTATTGAAACAACTTCACAACTTGTCGGTAGAATTGTGTAAGTAAACCATGAGTATCTTCTATGGGAAGGGGGGGGACAGTGGGGTAGCCTAGTGGTTAAAGTGTTGGCTCGTCACGCAGAAGACCCAGGTTCGATTCCACACATGGGTACAATGTGTGAAGCCCATTTCTGGTGTCCCCAGCCGCGATATTGCTGAAATACTGTTAAAAGCGGCGTAAAACAAAACTTCGCTCACTCACTCTATAGGAAGGTGCCACAGTATGTCATAAATTATTGAACCAGTTTTGTTGGGGTTCTTTATGTTGCAGGGTTGGTTTTTAACCAGGGTTCAACTTCCTTTACCTTACTTTAAAAATCTTTCCCATGTGTTTTGTCAGAGATTTATCTGAGTCTGCTCAGAGACCAATATTTGGCCCAAGGTTTGCAGCAAATGTGAGTAATAATTCCCGATGTGAATTAAAAATTTCCTTATTTCTAAGAAATTTACAAAAATAAGAACTGTAAACATTCCAAATTTTCTGCTGATATTACCATTTTTCCCCATGTTGTCTGCCAGGAAAATTCGTTTGGCAGCTTAGATAAATCTCTGTAGGATATGGGCATAGTAGTGGTGCTCACCTACCTCATATTCAACATGTCAAATGGCTACCTTTGCAGAGACAAGTCATTATTCATTATAGAACTTGTATTGGTGTTACATCCAGAGTTGCTGACTGAATCTAACTACTGATTGTATCTTTTTTTCAAACTTATAAGGTTTTGTAAAGTTGCAAGTAACCTCACATAAATGAATTATTTTTTTACAACAGTTGACATTTTTAAAAGCGTCTCAGTATTGATTGTATAACCATGGAAACGTAAGCTTACATGACAATACTGCCTTTGTATGGCAATAAGTACAACTTGCTAATGTACAGAATTTGTCTCGCTTCATGTGGAGTGGTGTGTCATTTTGTATATGCTGTGCACTTTGATGCTCGTACTTTTCTCATTCAATTGCTGTTGAGTATTTGGAATCAACAAAGAAGCCACAATGGAAGAAATATGACAACTCTCTTGATCATGTGGTGACAATGATATGTCTGTTGGTATGGACATGAAATAGAATCTGGGAACTAGAATGCCTCTCAACATCTCAACAGTTTGGACCCAGATTCAGTTGTTGGAAAATAAGAAATAGCAGAGCTGTGTTGGTTAGACTGTTGCACAACATATGGAATGGACTAATTTTAATCAGGACAGGATATCATTGTGTGCGGCTTAGCATGGGACCTGGATGAGACTTTTCATCTGGGAAATGTTTTATATTTTATTTTCATAAGCAGTTACCTGATGGTGGCTTTGTGTGAGAGCAGCAACAGAGAGGACAATAAAGAATGTGCTTGCAATGCTCTGATGGGAGCACCTGTTTCTGTGGGCAGTCACCAGCTACATGTGTCTTGGAGATGATAGCAGCGGTGTTATCACATTCTGACTCGTATAATAACATGAATAAACCAAATATTATCACATATGGCTTCTGTTGTTTGTCTGGACCAGAGACCATCTATTATGTGGTCTCTGTCTGGACACATGTATTTTTCAGCTCACAAATGTTGAATCATTGAAATTAATGTGTTTATATTGGGGTATCCTAGTGGTTAAAGCCTAGTTATTCATGCCGAAGACCCAGGTTTGATTTCCAGACATGGGTACTATGAGTGAAGCCAATTTCTGGTGTCCTCCGCCATGGTATGTTGTTAAAAGCTGCATAAAACTAAACTCACTAACTCACTAATTAGAGTATTCCTTCTGATAAGTATCAGGTCATAAAGTTGATATGACATGGACATGAGCGTGAAAAAGGTTTAATGCTGCTTTTAACAATGTCGTTTTGGGGGACACCAGTATTGAGCTTCATACATTCTACCCATGTGGGGAATCAAACTTAGTGAGTGACAAATGCTTTAACGTTTACCGTATCACACAGTAATGGACAAATACTGCAGAGATGCCAACACTATTTTGGGCCAAAGTGTAATAATAGAGGTCAAAAAGTGTAATTTGGACCTAAAAAGTGTAATACTTGTCTGCCGATCGCTTCATCATGGTACACGTTTTCACGAAAGGAAGATTCTTGACTGAAACACATGTGACCAATCATTATGAAGCTCCATACATTGAAAATTGTTGGTCATGTGACTAAAAATACTTTAATTCCTTGCAAGTTTATTAGAATGAGTGCTATGCTGAGAGTTAGCCATTTCTGCACCCCTGCACCTGTGCGTTACGAAACACTTCCCTGTGAAATTTTACCCACTTTATTGATTTTCGTAAAACGAGTAGAAAAGTGTAATTTTCGCAGATTAAGTGTAATGGCGCAATTTACTGGTCAAAATCGTAATAATTACGCCTAAAGCGTAAGGGTTGGCATCTCATACTGGTATGATGATCGTTGTATGCTGTTGAAAGGGTAAATAGTTGAATGTAATGTCCTATAAACAGAATAAATACCAATCATTCTGGCCAATACCCGTGACGATCAGGGTTAGAATTGGTCTTCAGCAACCCATGCTTGTCGTAAGAGGGTACGGGGTCGGATGGTCAGGCTCGCGTACTTGCTTGACACATGTCATCGTATCCCAATTGCGCAGAACGATGCTCATGATGTTGATCATTGGATTACTTACAGACCGCTGCCATATAGGTGGGAAATTGCTGAGTGCAGCGTTAAACAACAAACCAACCAACCTACCAACTTTGACCAATATGACATATGTTCGTTCTGGAGTTGCAGAGTTGTGAATACAATGATTTACAGTTGAAAGATTCCAGTACCAGATAATATCAGAAAGACTGCTCCAAAAAGGAAATGCATTTTCAGATTTCTTTTGGGTGGGAAGTAATACCCTCTTGAGGGGCACAGAAAACTCGGACCTGCAGCTGGTTATGGTTAGACAGCGCCAGCCCCAAGGGATTGGACTGACTGACTGAGTTTGGTATTACGCCGCTTTTAGCAACCCAAGGGATTGGAAGAGCAGGTGGAAACGTGCACTGACTGTGATTCAGGATAAGGTCATACACGTGGTTCCAACTCCTCCCTTGCTCATGCTGTGGGTCACTGGATTGTCTGGTCCAGACTCGATTATTTACAGACCGCCGCCATATAGCTGAAATAGTGTTGAGTGCGGCGTAAAACTAAACTCACTCAGTCACTCCAACTCTTCCCATAAATGTTCCGAACGTCCGGCAACTGAGGCCACCGGATATGGTACATTGTGGTTATGCAGGAATTCTACTGTTGCAAGTGTTGTATGCGATTTTGCAGTGCGTTGTTGAAAGATTACATTAGCGTAGGGTGTCATTAAAATAAATTTTATGGTAACTTGCATATTCACCGGGGTTCGTCTACCAGCGTGGGAAATCTACGCATCAAATGTTACGCTTTCGCCGCTAAATCTCGCAACCTCTGCATATTGTTGGCGACGTCGGTATACTCTAGTCCAACCATCAGTTTGATGCACGTTAATAACTTACTCATCTTGAGCCAACAGATCTTCGTAGCATGTTAGGCCAAAGTTGATACCACTGACGTCGCGGTTGACGTAGTCGTGACGTCAACACACATCTGACAGAAAGTCTGCGTCACAAAGATGATTCCGCACTGCCTGGTCAGATACCCACAATCCTTGCATCATCTGTGTACACAATGTCGCAAATGACGTAGCCGTGTGCATGCTATGTGACATGGGGTGAGTCACGTAAGGTACCATGTTGCTGGTACAATACGAAGGTCTTGACGTGGCGCTCAGGGACACATGAATTACCCCTGCTACAGCCGATTGATGACAACACCATTGTTAAGTTGTGCAATACATGGACACCATTTCTATCGATTTCCATGAAATAGTGGTAAATTGATCACATATACAACTGAGGATGCTAACTACAATGGTTTCAGTAAGATTTGCAGATTTAAAGAAATATATAGTTTTTATGGCGGTACTGAGGCAGATCGAAACACCATGACGTAACTGAAATACTATTTACAACATCATTTGTCCCACCTCACTGATGTTACTCACCCTAACCTCTATCTTTTGTTGAAATTAATATCAATGACCGGTACAACGTGTGTCGCCCATTTCTGATGATGCCGAGAAATTGCTGGAAAATTGCTGAAACTTGTCGAAAGTCGTGTTCACTCATTGCTGGCATTTAAGATGATTTGTGTATCTAATAAGTATTAGAGAAGCCTCAGAGATGAGTTTGTTAGAGATATCTGATTTCAATTCACTTCCTATCAAGGTTTCAGGAAGATGTGAACAACGTCTATATGGTTTGTAATGACGTTTCAGGCCTGGTTCTTGTAACCCCGGAAGATCCGGGTTAGAATTGGTCTTCAGCAACCCATGCTTGACGTAAGACCAAGAGGTGACTAACGGGATCGGAAGCTCAGGCTCGCTGACTTGGTGGACACATGTCATCGTATCCCAACAGTTCATGCTGTTGATCACTGGACTGTCTGGTCCAGATTCGATTATTTACAGACCGCCGTCGTATAGCTGGAATATTGCTGAGTGTTGCGTTACACAACAAACAAACCAACTATCCTAAAATAAAGTTTTGCTTTGTGACATTAAGCCGTTTGTATGGGTTTTTTTATAAGTATAAAGCTTCACCTTTGAAATATTACGTGTAAGTTGTGATATATTTCCAGGCTTTCCATGGATGGGTAAGCACACTGGCAATATTGGACTCGTAAAGAAATTAATGTTGATAATTTAACAATTGTATATTATATTTGGGAAATACCATTGCCGTCTTAAAAGGCGACAAACGGAATCGTATCCCAATTGCGTAAATCGATGCTCATGATGTTGATCACTGGGTTTGGGTGCCCACTCGATTGACCGCCGCCATGCATATAGCTGGAATATTGCTGAGCGCGGTGCTAAACAACCAACGAACCATTGTCGTGAACGTTAAGTTTTTAAAATATAAGCAATGGTCATACCCTTCATGAAAAAGCAATATTTCCAGATAATCAGAAGATAAAAACTTTCTAAGGGAAGAAAATACCATAGGCGCCCGAAATATATCAGAGTATATATTTATAAGCATGACCTATATATATAAGATATATCTTATATATATAGGTCATGCTTATAAATATATGAGAGTCGGGCGCCTATGGAAAATACAATTAAGCCACTGGTTGGCAAGTGTGGTTTTTGTTCTAGAACAATTTAACCTCAGTGTATATCATCGCACTGCAGAAAAATAAGACATATATTCTTCTCTTGTTAATATGTGTATTTCATCATCTTGAAATTGAAGAATATACAGATATTTTGCAACAGATGGAACGTCTCCATGTTCAAAGACGATGGAGTCATCTGACAGAAGTGGGCAGCTTTGCTCCAAGGCTGTACTGAATGCTAAGCCCATGGATGTACAGTAATTCTATCCTTTAAAGAGGTAAGTCTAGATAAGAAGACAGTAAGTACGCCTGTCTGTTATTTATATTTTTTTAGAAATTATCATTTAAACTGTATAGCTGTTTGTTCCTAATTGTTTCATTCACCTGATGAAGGAGTAAGAACATACTTCGAAACGTCGTGACCCTTCACAATAAAGAAGTTGTCATCCATAAAACTCTTGTCTTTATCATTTAAACTATTGATTATTACCTGAGAGACTTTAGCAAGTCTAAGTCGTGAGCTGTTCGACTTTTTCCATAACGGAAGTCCCCACTGCGCATGGCTGGAAATACGGAAGTATCTGACCACGCTGTTTTGTTTTGATTTTACAGAAGTCGAGTTGTCAATATTGTGTGAGCGATCGTCGACAGTAACTCGTTAATCATGGGAAGAATAGGGAAACCACAGAAGAGTAGGAAGCACAAGAAAGTAAAGCCGCTAGATCCAATAAAACAAGTGGAAAGTGAAGCACGGTAGGACAATTTGAATGATACAAGATAACTCAAAAGTCATAGTTATGAGCGTATTACTTGATCCCTGTGTGATACTTTTCGCGTCGTATTGGACTGCGAAATCGCAGCTATACTGATAGCTGCGATTTTGCAGTCCAATACGACGCGAAAAGTACTTGAACTGTGATAATAACCTTTACATGCCCTTATAACATAAGCTCATTATCACAGATCAAGTACAAACATATAAGGGAATCCTGCAGGTGGGTAAAAGTAAACCCGAAAAATATCTGGATACATTTCTGTTGATGTTCTCTGGTCTTGTGTATGACTTAACATCCGCCCTCATAATCATATTTCTAAAAGTAACGCAATTGCAGGATTTTAACAGTAACAGTTAATTGATATTGTTTCTCAGTAAAGGTCAGCACAACCAGAAACCTAGAAATGTGGACCAGGAAATCCCCAAGAAGGCCATTTTGTTGGGAGCCTCCATAAAACGTCATGCCTCGCAGAAGCAACATGCAGGTGTCAACAAAAAGAGGAAGAAGAAGTGTGAGTGTTTGTTGCGGATGTTCGTCTTGTCTTACAAATAGTTTGTTTTTACAAGTTTATTACATGCTTGAGTGTGAATGACTGAGATTTGTGAACAGGGATATTTTTACTGCGGTGACATCACTCTGCCAGAATTACTCCATAATGTTATAATAGTAATAATTCATTTATATAGCACCTAGTATCCATCTGACTAGTTGCTCACTGGATGCTGTAATCAGAATCTAATTATTATTATTACCAAATTATTATTATAACCAAAGCTGCGTGTTAGGCACTAGAAGGTTATAGTCACATTTCCTGCTAGGTGAACAGGGGCAATTTTGAACAAACTCATTTGTGAGACCACAAGTATATAATGTGCCTCGTTGTGGGGCAGAACTGAAGTCCTGGACACTCTCAGGAGTTAAGCTGCCAAACACGGTCACAAATCCAAGGACTCTCCAAGCCGGACATTGCTTAACTTAAGTTCAACTGATTCGTGACCTGAGCTCTACACACAGGACCACACACCGCCATGACTCCAAAACGTTTTCTGTCCTGTGTGTTGTCACACAGCAAAGTAAATGACATTGTGAACATATGCATTTCACCATTAGGTCAGCAAGTCTGGACATCAGATGACCAACCTCCAGCCAAGAGAACTCGCGCTGATAATCTGATGGCCAAGTGATGTGAAAAACGTCTTATGTTACATTGTTCACATCACGCGATGACAGATCCATCATATTTCACTAGACACATGAAATATCCTTGATTTCCAATATAATGATGATGCCCTTCACATGTCTTTCTCCTTGCTTAACCACACAGTGCAGATTAGAGTTTAGTGAAGATATTGTGATCATCCGAGTCACAATACTTAAGCTGTCAGTTTTGTATCATGATTGGCAATGAGTAATGATTCTACACACTCAAGCATCGTTCAGTGGGATGAAATCAGGAAATATAGTTCAGGGTAAATATGAAATGATTGAAATAAATTTGCTATTAACTTTAGAAAGAATTTATCATGACATGTGTCCAGGCAACGTCAGTTGTCTGTTAGATAATAGTAGTTATCTTTTCACTCCAGTCCTGATTCAACTTTGATTTATTATATGTAATCAACAAAAAGCTACATTTGCCTATCAAATAACCTCTTCAACCAAATTGCTTAATTTCACCTGATTCATGATCTATTCTTCGTGCACACAACCACATGATGCCACCACTAAATGAAGAGTGAGTGAGTTTAGTTTTACCCCCCACTCAGCAATATTCCAGCTATATGGCAGTGGTCTGTAAATGATCGAGGCTGGACCAGACAATCCAGTGATCAACAGCACGAGCATCGATCTGCACAATTGGGAACCGATGACATGTGTCAACTAAGTCAGAGAGCCTGACCACCCAATCCGGTTAGCGGCCTCTTACGACAAGCATGGGTTACTGAAGATCAATATTCTAACCCAGACCTTCACGGGTACTAAATATGAAGATGATGAATGTATGGGTACCTCTCTTTCAGTTAACATCAGTGACCCAGAAACCAGAAATACATCAGGGAAGAAAGGTCAATCCAGTTTCAACAAATCAACCATGAAAACAGTAGATGATGAAGACATCGTAGACAAGTTTATGGTTAGTAAAGCTGTTAAAATACATCACAGGTGATCATTGGGATTTTCATCCAGTTGGGATCAGAGGCAGAATAGGTAAACCGTGCCCCATACTTATGTCAAGCTGGGCTATTTACTGTGGGGTTGGATAGCCTAGTGGTAAAAGCGTTCGCTTGTTACACTGAAGGACTGTGTTCGATTCCCCACATGGGTAAAATGTATGAAGCCGATTTCTGGTGTCCCATGTCGTGATATTGCTTGAATGTTGCTAAAAGCAGCATAAACCATACTCGCTCCAACTGGTGGATAAAGTTAGCATCACATTAAAGAATATTGCAGTGATATAGTGACGTGTGTGTCACTGGTTTGTCTGTGGCCAGGACTGGGATTTACAAGACTGCTGTTACCTAGCAGGTATTTTGATGAGAAATGCATGCATACTATTTGTTTAGTTGGGAATTGGCATAATACTAAGATCTGTATGTAAAAGCTGATGTTTTGACCTGTATAACATGTGCTTAGTATAAAACCACAAGTCATGTAACCTGTTCATATAGGGGGTATTAGCCTTTGAAGTTGCTTTGCATAGACCATCAGATTTAAGTCAGTCCCAATTTGAAGTAAAATTGAGGCAATTAGAACTGGGAGAGAATTCTAGCCCTCACATGCTCAGTGAGGATTTTTACTTGTCAGCACAATTTGGTACTGATGAGCTATTGGAGTTATGGCTGGCAGTGTAAACTATTACAAGCTTCTATACCTTGATCAATGTGGTGAGTGAGGTAAATGGCTGGCAGTATTTCGTAAACTATTACAAGCTTCTATACTGAAGCTTGATGCAGCCCATAGATACCAGCAGTCCTATCCTTGTAAACTGCAAGGCAACCAGGTACCATATTTTAACGCTTTTGATAGAGAAGTCGATATGAATATGGAAGAGTCTGACAATAAGCAGCCCTCTTTTATATGTATATGGAAGAGTTACCGTTCTTTTAAGAATGTTCTATTGACCAAGTAATTTGAGTGCAGCAGCGAAATATGTGTACATCTTGATATCTAGTATTGCGTACTGACTTGTTCATAGATATCTCAAAGTATTAAAAGTGTTTTTTCTTTGACATTGTGAAAAAATGTCATGCTGTAGATATGTAGCCAGTGAAATTCTACAAGAGTATTAATTCATTGCAGTTTCACAGAAGCGGAGATATCAATCCTTCAATAACAAAAAGAGCAGAAAAAATGAAAATGTGAGTATACTGCTACATTTTCACTGGTTTCACTTCTTCATTTTCATCAGTTTCACTTCTATGTTTTCAATGGTTTCACTTGCTTCATTTTCACTGGTTTCACTTGCTTCATTTTGACTTGATTCAATTGCATGATTCACTGGTTTCACTGCTTCATTCTCAATGGCTGACTTCTTTGTTTTCACGTCTGTGACGTAGTGGAGCATCGTCCCAGTGAGCAAAACGTCAGAGGGTCAATCCACAACAGTGTCATCATTAAAGATGTTACCGAAATCTATTTTCCTTTTAGAAACTGTAGGCAATTACCAGAGAAACAAAAATTCTTGCACAGTGCAGAATTCACGTTGGACCTGTAATATTATATATTAGGAACTGAAATTCCTGTAATGACCATATGACCAATGTTGGCTTTGTCCTTTTCTGCTCACTGAATGCCTTCACTTTGCAGGAGATCAAAAGAGCACAAGCAGAAACACAAAGAGAAGAAGAAAGAAAAAGACAGAGAAAAAGAACGAGACTTCAGCCAGTTCAAAGGTTTGCATCAGTTCATTCTTGTTTAATCCATAACAACAAATTTGGATTTATAGAAGTGATGTCCTTAATCCCTTGACATCATTTGACACAAGAGGCCTAGTTGTCATAGGTGCCTCAATATGGTGTTCAGAGTTGCTTCCCTTGATTTTTATTTGATCCTATGATTTTACGTTTAAGTCCAAGAATTCTTGCTTCTGCACCTGCATCACTTCAGATATATCGGGGGGCGGTGGGGTAGTCCCATTCCCCCAAATAGTAATAAATAGGAATATATAGGACTTCTTTTCACATCCATTTAAAAAATTGTGTATTTCTTTTCCCCAAATTCCCCAAGGTAATTGTTTGATCTGCATTTTAGAACTTTCAGCTTGGTAACGGTGTAAGAATATAAACTATAGTTGTCATCCATAAAGTTGTATGCTTCATTATCCTCCAAAGTAGGATGTTTTGTGAGTTAATGTATTGAGCTAACAATTCTGTAGTTTGAAGGTCCTGATATGATTGCATGGATTCTATTTAATGATATTCCACCTTACCTCCTCCTTCAGATGATGTACAGTTTGGGGATATAGTTCATGCTCCCCCAAGCCTGTCTGTCCTCCCATGCAAAGCACACACAGAACAAGGAATTCCTAGGGTGAGTAGCGCACACAGAACAATGAATTCCTAGGGTGAGTAGCACACACAGAACAAGGAATTCCTAGGGTGAGTAGGGCACGCAGAACAAGGAATTCCTAGGGTGAGTAGCACACACAGAACAAGGAATTCCTAGGGTGAGTAGCGCACACAGGACAAGGAGTTCCTAGGGTGAGTAGCACACACAGGACAAGGAGTTCCTAGGGTTCCTAGGGTGAGTAGCACACACACAGAACAAGGAATTCCTAGGGTGAGTAGCACACACAGAACAAGGAAATTTCTAGGGTGAGTACAAAGGAGTTCCTAGGGTGAGGACAAGGAATTCCTAGGGTGAGTAGCACACACAGAACAAGGGAATTCCCTAGGGTGAGTAGCTGCCCACACAGGAACAAGGAATTCCTAGGGTGAGTAGCACACACAGGAATTCCTAGGGTGAGTAGTCCACAGGGTGAGTAGCAGACACAGAACAAGGAATTCCTAGGGTGAGTAGCACACACAGAACAAGGAATTCCTAGGGTGAGTAGCGCACACAGGACAAGGAGTTCCTAGGGTGAGTAGCACACACAGAACAAGGAATTCCTAGGGTGAGTAGCCCACACAGAACAAGGAATTCTTAGGGTGAGTATTGCACACTCAGAACAAGGAATTCCTAGGGTGAGTATTGCACACACAGAACAAGGAATTCTTAGGGTGAGTAGTGCACATTGAACAAGGAATTCCTAGGGTGAGTAGCGCACAGAACAAGGAATTCCTAGGGTGAGTAGTGCACACAAAGCAGGGGATTCCAAGGGTGAGTAGCGCACACAGAACAAGGAATTCCTAGGGTGAGTAGGGCACACAGAACAAGGAATTCCTAGGGTGAGTAGCGCACACAGAACAAGGAGTTCCTAGGGTGAGTAGCACACACAGAACAAGGAATTCCTAGGGTGAGTAGCCCACACAGAACAAGGAATTCCTAGGGTGAGTAGCACACACAGAACAAGGAATTCTTAGGGTGAGTATTGCACACACTCAGAACAAGGAATTCCTAGGGTGAGTATTGCACACACAGAACAAGGAATTCTTAGGGTGAGTAGTGCACATTGAACAAGGAATTCCTAGGGTGAGTAGCGCACAGAACAAGGAATTCCTAGGGTGAGTAGTGCACACAGAACAAGGAATTCCTAGGGTGAGTAGTGCACACAGAACAGGGGATTCCTAGGGTGAGTAGCGCACACAACAAGGAATTCCTAGGGTGAGTAGTGCACAAACAAGGAGGAATCCTAGGGTGAGTAGCCCACACAGAACAAGGAATTCCTAGGGTGAGTAGTGCACACAGAACAAGGAATCAGAACAAGGAATTCCTAGGGTGAGTAGTGCACACAAAGCAGGGGATTCCAAGGGTGAGTAGCACACACACAACAAGGAATTCCTAGGGTGAGTAGTGCACATTGAACAAGGAATTCCTAGGGTGAGTAGCGCACACAGAACAAGGAGTTCCTAGGGTGAGTAGCCCACACAGAACAAGGAGTTCCTAGGGTTAGTGCACACACACAGAACAAGGAATTCCTAGGGTGAGTAACACACACAGAACAAGGAATTCCTAGGGTGAGTAGCCCACACAGGACAAGGAGTTCCTAGGGTTAGTGCACACACACAGAACAAGGAATTCCTAGGGTGAGTAGCGCACACAGAACAAGGAATTCCTAGGGCGAGTAACACATACAGAACAAGGAATTCCTAGGGTGAGTAGTGCACACACACAGGACAAGGAATTCCTAGGGTGAGTAGTGCACAGAGAACAAGGAATTCCTAGGGTGAGTAGTGCACACAGAACAAGGAATTCCTAGGGTGAGTAGCACACAGAACAAGGTAATTCCTAGGGTGAGTAGTGCACACAGAACAAGGAATTCCTAGGGTGAGTAGCACACACAAAGTATTCCTACAAGGTATTCCTAGGGTGAGTAGCACAAGGAATTCCTGGGGTGAATAGTGCACACAACAAAGAAACTTCTTAACAGCATGGATAGGTAATGGTCACTGAACAAGGATCTTGTAGGGTAATCTGTTCTCACAGAATTCTAGTTTTCAGGATAATGTATGGAAGACTGCACACAAGACTAGGATCCTCAATGGTAAGCACACTAAGAGGTATTCCCAGGTTAAGTAATGCCAAGGTGATTTGTAATCCAGAACATTGTCCTAAAGTGTTGGAACCTTCACATAACATTACCACTGTTTCCCATTCCAGCCAGGAAAGAAGTCCCTGTTGCTGAAAGAGGTCTTCACAAGCAACTCCAGCTACAGTCAACAGACCCCCCCCGGTGGCCAGGGGGGACGGCGTGAGTTGGGGCAGACTGTCAAGAGGAAAAACCTCTCTATGGCACAGCAACACATTATGGATCATGAGAGGGAGAAAGCTGTACAGCTCTATAGGGAATTGAAAGATAAAAAGATGAAAAGATTTAACTGAAACTAAAGGCTTTGTGTTTTTTTTAACTTCTCTGAATAAGATAGTGAATTGTGTTTTGCTATGAATGAATGAATGAATGAATGATAATTGATTTGTATAGCCTGGATTCCAGATTGGACATGACTGCTCAACGGCGCTTGTTGAAGTGAGCGAAAAAAAAATATGTCTTCAGATGAGTTAGAAAAGAGTTTTTTGTTTCACAATTTCTGATTTCCAGTGGTAGGGCATTCCACAGTTTGGGAGCTGCTATGGTTATCAATATTCCAGTTATATGACTCCAATTTTAAATAATCAAGTCTGGACCAGTGATTGACATCACGAGAATCTGAAGTCTCCAATATAATAAAATGAGGAGTGCTTGCCAGGCATTTTTGAATTACATATGAACATAAACCCATTGGTTCCACAAGAGCAAACCATTTTTCACAATGTCCTATTACTGGCAATATGGTGAAATATTTACAGTTACAAAATTGTGAACTGTTGCATGACAAATTTGTTGAAGGAGTGGATCGCACAATCAATGAAACTACTCCATCCTCGTTTTTTCTACCTGGACACAAGGGGCGGTGGGGTAGCCTAGTGGTTAAAGCGTTCGCTCGTCACGCCGAAGACCCGGGTTCGATTCCCAACATGGGTACAAAGTGTGAAGACCATTTCTGGTGTTCCCCGCCGTGATATTGCTGGACTATTGCTAAAAGCGGCGTAAAACCATATTCATTCACTCACTCACTCACTCTACCTGGACACGTTTCTCATGAATGACTGTATGGGAACATTTTCATCCACCCGAATGTCCATTTATTCATGATCTTCCAAAGACTTTTTTTGTGCAAAGGCCAGCGAGCAAATGTGGACTGAACATCACCTTCTCACAGACCAGTGGACCAGTATAGGTGAAACTTCACATCACTTGCAACCCGTGAAGGTCCGGGTTAGAATGAACCTTCAGTAACCCATGCTTGTCGTAAGAGGCGACTAACGGGATCGGGTGGTCAGGCTCGCTGGCTTGGTTGACACATGTCATCGGTTCCCAATTGCGCAGATCGATGCTCATGCTGTTGATCACTGGATTGTCTGGTCCGTACTTGATTATTTACAGACCGCCGCCATATAGCTGGAATATTGCTGAGTGCGGCGCAAAACTAAACTCACATCACTTGCCCCAATAATGCTGACAACACAGTTTTAGAGAGTCAAATTGATCAAATGTGCTCCAGGTATAGTTTGTAATGAGACTCAACGTTATAATACTATTATAAACAATTTCTGACCATTTTATGACAATGGTCTTCGTGAAACTTGATATACCAGGCAAGTATTGTTGTTTTATTAAACAAAAACCCGAAAAAACAACCATTAAGCCAAGCTCCTGTACTTATACAGACCCAAAGATTATCTTTGTAGTCGTCAAATTCCAACTGTTGACGATTTTTTAAGTAGGCCCCTCAACAAAATCTCACCTTCAACAAAGCCACATGCTGCAATCCATGTTACAGGCATATCATTCTGCCTTCAATCAAGAGCATTTCATCTACATCACGACCCTTGTAAATCCGAGGCTGGGTCCATGTTTCAGACATACACTGTCTTCAATCAAGAACATTTCATCTACATCACGACCCTTGTAAATCCAAGGCTGGGTCCATGTTTCAGACATATACTGTCTTCAATCAAGAACATTTCATCTACATCACGACCCTTGTAAATCCAAGGCTGGGTCCATGTTTCAGACATATACTGTCTTCAGTCAAGAACATTTCATCTACATCACGACCCTTGTAAATCCAAGGCTGGGTCCATGTTTCAGACATATACTGTCTTCAATCAAGAACATTTCATCTACATCACGACCCTTGTAAATCCAAGGCTGGGTCCATGTTTCAGACATATACTGTCTTCAATCAAGAACATTTCATCTACATCACGACCCTTGTAAATCCGAGTCTGGGTCATGAAAATCCAGTTTTTATATCTCACGCCATCACATGAAATAGTGACAATTCCCTGCTAAAAGCGGAATCAACTGTATGATGTCAACTCCACCAGAAACATGTTTGCGATTCACTAATAAAAAATAGTGATGATGGGAAAAATGAGCGTATCCTGCCAACCCGTGGCGTTAACATAGGCAAATTGAGAATTGTTCACCTGAACCAAATATACCCATGGAAAAAGTATCGCAACACCCCATATTTGTCATATTCTGTTACTATTAACCACAGGAACCACATAAACATGTCCACACCTCAATTTAACTGATTATTTGGATAAATTGACACCTTTAGGAATGCTACGAATAACTAGTTTATTGATAGAAGCAAACGTGGGAAAATATTATGCAGTTTGTAGTGCTGTTAACTTTGCTCTTGCGGTCGTTCTCAAGATTCTGGCGTACAGTCCTCAAGACATCACATATATATATCAATAATCGAGTACAATGTCACTATAAGTTGTATGCTTCTCTCGAGGGTAATACAGTCTGATGTGCGTCTCTTTGTGGCAGTGTCACCCGAGCCGAGTGATCGTAACGTATACCCTGGAGATTATCGAGGATGAGAGTTGTGTAAAAGAGGTGAAAATAACAAACTGGCTTTGTGGTAATAGTTTCAACAGTTTGAGCGCTGAGAGGTTAGCACCGCTTTGAACAGCATTGCAATTATGGACGGTCTAATTGTAAATTATAAAGAAAAACGATTGGTAAGTAAAAAGAAAACCCCTTCCATATTTATCTCTCTTCAAATTGAGACAAAAGACTGAGTAAGCGAAATATAACATATACTTTCACCGATAGCTAGGTGATGCATATAGGTTCTTGATTTGCTGAAATAAGGAAGAAGGCAATCAACTCAGTTGAATGACACCCAACTTGGTTACACTATGCGCAGAAATAAGAGCGTTGTACCACTATTTTCATACAATGTTTAAGTGTTTGAAAGGCGACGTCATCACAGTGTCATGACTGAGCGGCACACAAAGCCAGCTGACGACCAGGCACCGTGAGGTGAAATTGGGTTCAACGTCGCGCTGGAGAATATTTCGCTCATATGACGACGTGCATGCGTGTGTATGTGTAGGTGATGCTGCTTGTACTAGCCCAGACTGAAGCTGGTTTTATAGTGCTAGCCCACTGAAATACCATGCCGCAGTGAAGCATGAATACCCCACTCAGACACATTATACTGACTCCGAGCCGACCAGTCCTTGTTGTACCCATTAATGACGAGCGCCAGGCAGGGACCAACAAGTACCATATTTTAACGTCTTTTGGTATGACGCGGTCGGGGATCGAACCCGCGACCTTCCGCTCTCCGGGCGGACACTCTAACCACTACACCACGGAGGCGATCCCAGGCACCGTGAGGGTTGAAACATCTCACTCACTTCTTTCCTCATTCAGTAACTCACTCAGCCGCTCATTACTCACTTACTCACTCAATCTACCTGTGCCAATGGATTCTATTTATTTGTGCCATTTTAATCATTTCCTGTGTAGCATATTATGTTTGCAATTCTGAAATGCCACAACATGACAGTATCACATGGCTCACAATTCAACTGACCCTTTCCAGAAACGAGTTACATTCGAAAACACACACAAAAATATTAATACGAGCCCAAAAGGACAAAGAAATCAAATGTTCAGGGTATGTTTCTATTCAGCTATGTGGAGAAATCAGAACACACTTGAAACAAAACATGCCGACTTCTTCCAAGGCGTTTCCGATGCACGGACAGCGAAATCTACCGACAAAGCATTGCTATGACGTCATTAGGTGATATTGTGACGTCACGCCATTGTCGGACATTGTCTCAGCCAGCTACAGCAGCACTGAATCACGCTCTTCATTTATCGAGATATCTAAAGATTATGGCAGTCGCTGGACGTCTGACCATGTCCGAGTGTGAGGGGTTTGCTTCCGAGGTGGCGGAGTGTTTTGCACGTACAGGACCGACAGGTAATAATACTAGTTTTAACTCCACAACCTCCTGTGTTTCACCGCCGCCATATGGCTGGAATATTTCTGAGTGCGGCGTGAAACTAAACTCAATCACTCACTCCTCTGTTTCAGCTGAAAAGGGTTTGAGAAGAAGCTACCTTTGGTACCATGTTGTTCACGTAGATGTAAACGCGATATATTATTAACACCTGTCAATTGACTTGATTATTTTAGTCTAAATCCTGTTATCATTATTTCAGGGTTTCATGATGCGGTTCCCAAACACGTCACAATAAAGCCAAAACCAGTCGCCAGACGTCTGACCATGTCTGAGTGTGAGGGGTTTGATTCCGAGGTGGCCGAGTGTTTCGCACACAGAGAACTGGAAGGTGTGTGTTTTGTTATTCCGTTCAACTCTCACATAGAAGAGGAACACTTGTTTTTGTTGGATAGACAGCTTCTTTATTGCACCGTTATCAGGCAAAGTTTTCCTTTTAATTATACCAGCTCCTAAATGCCACTTAAAGAAACTCACATTCTTGGAACTTCAAGTAAACAAATAATATTCTTGATTAAATGTTAATAGTCCCACCATTAAACACAGCATATACATGTATATATATGTGCCTGACTTGACATTGAACTGAGTACATACTAGATTCGACTTATGTGTTTTCAGAGTTCCACGACATGGTTCCCAAACACGTGACGATAAAACCAAGACCTGTTCGTCTCCAGCCTCCATTCCATTGGGACTGTAGTGAAGAGATCAAACAAGAAGTGAAGGAGCTTGACCTCCAATTGCATTTGACGGCTGCCCTGACCAAGGTGGACATTATCCGGGCTGACCTCCAAGATGCTCGACTCCGTTCCAAATGTCTGAAACTGAAGAACCAACATCTTCAGAGACAAGCCAGACAACTGTCGGATGAGAAAGTGTCCCTCAGGGAGCAGGTGGACCGCTTGTTGAAGGAGGTGGACATGTTGAGAGCTGAAAGATTGTGTGTACATTCTGGAGCTGGAGAGGGTGTTGGACTTGTTCAGAGGTCAGGGGCTACACA